CAGCCTTGGGGACTTGGCTGTGGGCCGGTGTCTCTGGCCCAAGGTTTTTGGAGTCCAGCTTCTGTTTTGGGCAAGTCACGGATCTCTCTGAGCCTCCGTTTCCTCCTGTATGAAATGGAGATGGTAGAACTGGCTTTGCAGGTTAAGGGAGATAATGTGGGCAACGTGCCTGACCCATAGTAGGTGCTGGACAAGTATAGCCCAGCCCCTCTGCTTGCTTGACCTTGTGTACCTGTCCCTAAGGGTTGGTGACCTACCTGTTGTGATGGCGGTAGGTAGGGAAGGGTCTTGCTGTGATTTTACTTTGGTTGCTCCTCTTCTCAATGTTGACTGAGTGGCAGCTGAGGATCCCATCAACCAAACTCACCTAAGTTCAGACCCAACAGAAAGAAATAGCTTCTGCATTAGAACCTCCCTTTCTTGCCCACCCCCCGCCACCCCCCATCAGTACTGTGTGCATTTATATGTAGGAAGCAGCAGTGGCTCCTTTTACCGACAGAGGAACAGAAGAACAAGAGAGTAATTCCCTGCCCAGGCTCACCTGACACATCCTTGAGGAAGTGCAGAGTATAATGGAGTCATTTTCCTATTGAGCTTCTCCAGACTGAGTTTTGTCTGGTCCTAACTTCGTTTGTTCCTTTCAGATGGCAGGCAATTGAGTTACAACTCCAGCTTACTGTTTTGAGCTTCAGCCCAGAGCCTCCCAGCAAAATAACCAGCATTCGTGTAGCCCAGATCCAGGAAAAAGTCTTTGTTCAACTCATCCCACTGTACTTTGGGAATACAGATAGCTCAGAAGCCTGGCAAACAGGCTTTGAAGTTAATAGGTTTTATTTAATGACACAAGAGTCTGCCTCCCGACAGCATGTGCAAGGTTTTGTCTCCTCTCCCGAAATCTGTGTGACTCCTGTGCCTAAGGGCAGGCTGTTGGGAACTGAGCCATCTTCCCAGCTGCCCAGCTCAGGGCACATGTATTTCTCTGGGGGACAAAGAGGGTTCTTGGGTGAAACTTGTCGGGAGTATACTTGGTCTGAGAAGTTGAGGACAAATCAGTGTCTTCCCACCAGGCTCAATCTTGCCCTAGCTGAGCATTGGTTTGCAGACTAAAAGGTTGCAGGTTTGATTCCAGTCAAAGGCACGTACCTGAGTTGTAGGCTTGATCCCGGGCCCCTGTCGGAGCGCATGTTGGAGGCAACCAATTGATGTGTCTTTCTCATATTAATGTTTCTCTCTCTGTGCGTCTCCCCCTCCTTTTTACTCTCTCTCTTAAAAAAAAAAAAAAAAATTAAATCAGTGGGAAAAAATATCCCCAGGTAAGGATTAACAAAAAATTTAAAAAATGGGGACACACCCTAAGGTGTAATTGACTGAAGCAAATGTACCAGAAGGCGTACATCCACTTGAGTGATGATCCCTTCAGTGTTGTCTCTTCGGAGGCTTCACATGGGCACCACTGATGTTCCCGTTGCTTAGAACGGTGTGGCGGACAGCCTCTAGAAGTTTCCAACAGAACCAACTTTTCAGCCAAGTGAGAAAATTGTTTTTGAGATTTTTTTTTTTATATATTCTTATTTTTGGATACCAAATGGTGTCCCAAGCATGGCCATCGGTCTGTTTTTTGTTGTTGTTGTTGTTGTTTTGTGTGTGTGTGTGTGTGTGTGTGTGTGTGTGTGTGTGTGTATGTGTGTGTGTTGTAATTCTGGATAACTTCCAGTTATTTCCAGAAGTCACAGTCAGCCAAGGAGGACCTACGAGATCCTAACCCATGTTGAGGGAACTCAGAGGGACACCCTCTGAAGGCAGATCTTGGCACTTGGCCGAGTGGGTATCAGTGCGCACCTTTGGGTATCAGCGAGCCAGGCCAGGGGCCAGTCTGTTCTTTAGCTGGGAGCTGTCCCTGCCCACAGGGAGTCCTGGTGAAGACACACTCTTTACTTGTAGAGACAACAATAGTTCCCTCCCTGCAGGAAGATTTAGTGTGGACCTCAGTCATATCCTTACAAGCCAGCTTTCTCTGGGTGTGGCTAGCTGAGGTCTCTGTAGGCATGAAGAATGGAGTTGTCTTTGTGTGACACCCCGCCCCTCACTGATGTTCAGTGTTGGGCCTGCAATCACGTCTTCTCCAGCTGAAATATGTTCACAGCCGGCTCCGGAGGCGGTGGTTGTACCCTCTGTCCTCACTCACCCGCTGCTGCAGGGCAGTCATCTTTTTTCTATACTGTTGGCCTGGGAGCTCCTCGACTAGCCAGCATGTCAGAAGCCAGTGTGGGGAGGAGACGGGGGTTGGCGTGCAAGATGATTAAAGTTAGAGCTCCAAGGTAAGGTGCAGAAGTGGCGCAGTGGCCATCTGTCCTGATTTCCTGGGCGTTCACAAATCCAGATCCTCTTTTCTCTGCCCCACAGTGGAAGAGTGGCGTATCTAATGTATAGCACCTGGTACAGTCATTTGAAAGGATGTGGATGAGTTAAAGGAATGGAGAATATATTTATAATAAGTTTTTTTTATTATATATTTTTTATTGATTTTTTTACAGAAAGGAAGAGAGAAGGATAGAGAGTTAGAAACATCGATGAGAAAGAATCATCGATCAGCTGCCCCCTGCACACCCCTTACCAGGGATGTGCCCACAACCAAGGTACATGCCCTTGACCGGAATCGAACCTAGGACCTTTCAGTCCGCAGGCCGACGATCTATCGACTGAGCTAAACCAGCTTTGGCAAGTTTTCTTAATAAAGATGCAAAATCACAAACAATGTGATCATAATTATATAAAAACAAAAAGCCAACCAAAACCAGTTTGGATCAGTAGGTAGAGTATCAGTCTGTGGACTGAAGGGTCCCAGGTTCAATTCCAGTCAAGGGCATGTACATTGGTTGCGGGCACATCCCTGGTAGTGGGTACTCAGGAGGCAGCTGGTCGATGTTTCTTTCTCATCGATGTTTCTAGCTCTCTATCTGTCTCCCTTCCTCTCTGTAGAAAATCAATAAAATATATATATATATTTTAAAAACCACTCCCCTAAAAACACACACAAAAAAGACCAAACAACAAACAGGTATATAAAAACGAATGAAAGTAAATATAACAAGTATTAGAAAAATGATTTTCCTTTGGGTAGTGGGACTATGGTGATTTTTTCTTTGAGATTTTTAAAATATTTCTCAAATATTCTCTATAAGTCTTGAATAAGTCTTAGGTGGGAGCAAATTAAACTTGATAAAATCTCAACAAAGCCTTTTTCATTGTTACACATTAAGTGCTGAAACGTAGCTTAGAGATACGGGTGCCATAACGAAGGTGACCTGGGATTTCTTCTTGACTCACACCTTAGAAATCTGAAAAGTCAGGCAAGGCCAGGTTCCAGGAAGGCGGTAGGGACATAGTTCTTTCTGGAGGCTGGGCCCAGACAAGGCAGCCTCTCAGGGCCCCTGCCCACCACCAGCCGGCGAGGATCCCTGCTGCACGCAGCCTCTGCCAACAGCGAGACACAGCCTCTGCCAACAGAGAGTGGGGCTGAGTGTGGGGACAGTCTCTGAGTGGGAGCAGTGACAAAAGTCTGGCTGGGATGGAGGCGGGAATCTAGAGAGAGTGCCTGAGCCTATAAGGAGCCAGAGAGTGAGCCTTCTGCTTGAGGGACTTGTATCTCCAGCTGCCAAGCATCCGGCAGGACCCAGCCCCTTAGAAAGCTGGTGCCCGCGGCTGTGGTCCTTCTGTGAGAACCTCCCTGATGGTGCAGGGTCCCAGGGCTCTGGCTCGGGGCGTGGGAAGGATCGCTTATTCTTCGAGCAGCAGTGTTTTTTCAAGGAAGCCGCCTGTTTTATCTCTAAGGTGGACACTAGGTTTTTCCCTCGTAGCACCTCTGGAAAGGTGAGGTTGGAGAAGGGCCACCAGAGCGCTCCGTCTTCAGCTGTGTCTTGCCTGGATCTTCCATTTCCATCTCTGAGGGGCCCTGGCCCAGCCTCCAGATCTGATTTTCTCCACTCCTCAGGCAAAGAGCCTCAGTTTCCTGCAGTCGCCCAGACCCTGTTGCCTGGCTGAACAGTGGACAAACCCAGCCTCTCCGGGACTTGCGCTTTGAGGAAGGCTCACTGGTCCCATAGTTAGCAGCATCAGCCCCGAACCATTCAAGGATAATACGGAATTTGTGGGGAGGCATTGGCGGCCTCGCTGCTTGGAAAAACTGGCAAATGCTGGGGCTCTGTGGAGGCAGGTGAGAAGGGTTCTGCAAGGCGTCTCTTGAGTGTTATCCCCAAAGTGCTGGTCCTCCAGGGCAAGAGGGAAGAATGATGTCTGTGGATGCTGATTGGGATGTACCCCGGAGGGCCTCGTGGGGACCCAGGCATGCTTCATTCCTCCTGCTCTCCAGGCGTGGCGCAAGGGGTTCATATCTCCAATGGCTCTATTTTGGGGCGACTGGAGTGTTTCCAGAATAGGACTCTTTGTTGAGTAGTCTATTTTGGGAGGCAGGCCCTACTGGCGTTTATGTAAGTGAGTCTCTGTGTGTATCTGGGGGTGTGGATGTGCTCACAAGTGATTTCTTGTTACTAATTATAAGCAGCTTCTTTTCTGAGCCAGGGAAATGAAGGTGTGTGTGTGTGTGTGTGTGTGTGTGTGTGTGTGTGTGTGTGTGAAGTATGGATTGCTCTTGTTGTGAAGAGTGGCGTGTGACTGTAATGATGGGGCAGTTGCCATAGACACGCAAGTAAGAGTAAATGTGGGGACCTTAGGACAGCAGGCAGGGATGACTGCCTTGGCCCCTTTGTGGAGTAGCATGCTGCGGAGATGTGACCCTCTATCACCTTCTTGATTCCATGCAGCACGCGGGTAGGCTGGGCATCGTGGCCCTCAGGCTGCAATCTGGAGTCAAGTGGTACCCAAAAGGTCGGTCCTAGGTTGCCTAAGGCCCATCCACCAATTCTAAGCAGGAATAAATCTCAGATTCCACTTCCTACCGCAATCTGGCACTCACTCACTAGATTCTCCTATCTCCCCCACAGGCCAAATCCGCATATGTCGAAGCCAGAGAGGAACCAAAGACCGTCCAGCATGGTCAGCGAAACATCCACAACTGGGACCATGTCCACTGTGGAGGCCAAACCTGGCCCCAAGGTAAGCTCCTGGCTGCTCATTTCTTCTGTCCCCTCTCTTGGAGTTTCCAAGCCCCTTTGTAATCAGAACCAGAGACCTTGACCGTAGTTTTGTGAAGGAGACCCTCGTTTTGTGAGAAGTGTTCTCCCGCAATGATAGATCGGGAAATCAAGGGCCGTTGGGGACGCGTCCCTTGTCCAAGAGAACAGGTGATTGCTGACAGAACCAGGACTGGCATCTAGGCTCTTGGATGCATCTTCATTTCCCAGGCGTATCTTGGAAAGGCCACTCGTGTGCGAGAGGTGGCCTGGAGGAATTTGTGACAGATGGCCCCTGAGGAAGGGTGCCCTTGAACAAGGCCCAGAGGTTTCTGTGCTCGAGCTGTGGGAGCACTGACCGAGGAGCAGGGAAAGGAGCCAGCCTTGCAGGGGAGAAGGGCTGACACCACCCCCAGCTAGCAGGGATACGTAGCTGGTAATTGGCAAAGTCTGTGACCAAAAAGTAGCTTTGTTCCAGAAAGCTGTAGGACATATTGGGGCCAACAGCTGCTGGTGGAAGTTGATTGAAATATCCCTTTAAATTTTTTCCCCTCTGTGACCCACATGGGAAGCTTGCCAGGTCTGGGGCTCGCCTATTAATTAGAAGGCTGTGGCCATGTGCATGCCTGGCCCATGTCTCCTCGCGGTTCTTCTGATCAAAGGGCGCTGGCACGGAGAGCGAGGCCGAGGGAGCCTGCAGCTCTCCCATCGCACATGTGCTTTTTTTGTGCCTCCCTGAATCCTCGCAGCTGCTAGAGTTCAAGTCTGCTTTTCCCTAGATCATCAAGTCCAGCAATAAAGTCCACAGTTTTGGGAAGAGGGACCAAGCCATTCGGAGGAACCCCAATGTTCCGGTGGTGGTGAGGGGCTGGCTGCACAAGCAGGTGAGTGAGGAGGCCGAGGAGGGAGGATGGCTCTTGCTGATTTCTTTTCTTACCCTGGCTCCTGGGGCTGGGACAGGCTCATCATTAGGCTCCCTGAGTTGGTCTGAAGCAGGTAGTTTTTGCCCACTGACTGCACTGAGCACTTTGCTGGTCGTTTTTATGAGTAGACTTACCCTTCAATGGCTATAGCTTCCCTTTCCAAGCCCACTTGCCCACTTTGGTCCTTGGTGCTTCTTTGCTGCGCTGGGACCCCGGCGCTGGTGTGGGTGGGCCCACACAAGTCCAGCCTTCCCTCCAGCACTTGCCTTCCTGATGTTAGAGTCTTTGTTATCATTGGGCCAGAAATCCCTGTTTTCCCTCTTTTCCAATCTAGCCTCCTAGCACCTCAAGTTCCAAATCAGCCAACCTCAGCTCCTTGTCTCCTCACCCTCACCTCTTCCACCCCCACCCTCCAAATCTGCTTTTCTGGATCTCAGGTTAGAAACCTCAGCACCACCACCAGCTCCTCCTCTTCCCACATCCATCTAGTCACTGAAGCCCTCCCAGTCAGCTCCATCGCCCCGAGGCCATCCTCCCCATCACTTGCTCTGCGTCTGGTCCTCTGGCCATGAAGAGTCTGTGAGCGCCCAGGGCCACAGACCATGTCCCTCTTGTCTCCTTCCTTCTCTTCTTGCCGTCCGTCCATCCATCCATCCATCCATCCATCCATCCATCCATCCATCCATCCATCCTGCCATTTCTAAATGCTCTCACAGCAGGTATAAGGAGATGAATAACATGTGGTTCCTGTCCTTGAGGAACTGAAGGTCTGCAGTAAGGAGAGAGGGAGGGAGAGACACAAATAGACACATGTCTCCCATACCATCCCCTCACTCAGCACATTCTCTCATATATCATGTTACCTGAAAAAACCAGAAATCCAACTCCAAAAGCAATGATGTAAATTTTTACTAAAGGATTTATGGCAAGATAAGAGGGCATTACATTGCACACCACACAGAAGAAATCCATAAAAGTCCCCATGAAATCTGTCTCCCCAGTTCTGATTCCCATGGCAACTTTCACAGCTCTCCAGCCTCTTCTGTCACCACTCCTCTGGCACCACCCCTTTCTGAAGGCTACCCCTCCCCTCACAGCTCTGTTCTCACTCTTTCTTACTTCCACTCATCTCTTTTCTCCCCGGAGTAATTTAACCCTCTGTGCCCATTAAATAAAAGAATGGTCCTTTGAAATGTGGAGGGAGAAGGGAGGAATGATAAATAATTCTCCCCAAGCCCCACCTCATCCCTTGGCTGTGCTGTGACTGTACCAGAGTTTTGTGGGGAGCACTGTGGACACAGCAGAGAGAATGTCGCTGTGGTTGGGGGAATCCGGAAAGGCTTCCCAGAGGAAGTGACATTTGGACCAGGTCTGGAAGGGTGGAGAGGAGTTTTCCCAACAAAGCAACTATCATATGCTTAGACATTATCTGGCCTATGCAAAAAATAAAACCAAGAGCTGAAACAGGTTTGGCTCAGTGATAGAGCGTTGATCTGTGAACTGAAAGGTCCCAAGTTCTGTTCTGGTCAAGGGCATGTATTGGTTGCGGGCACATCCCCTGTTGGGGGTGTGCAGGAGGCAGCTGGTCGATGTTTCTCTCTCATCGATGTTTCTAGCTCTCTATCTCTCTCCTTTCCTCTCTGTAAAATATCAATAAAATATATTTCTTTAAAATAAATAAATAAATAAAAATAAAACCAAGAAATGTATGAACTCAGCAAATTAAATTTGTTTTTAGCACTTCAGTAAGTAAAGAATGAACAGACTTCATGTTGTTAGGTTTCGAAACTGTCTAGTTTAAAAAACATGTATATTTTTATTGATTTCAGAGAGGAGAAGGAATGGGAGAGAGAGAGATAGAAACATAAGTGAGGAGAGAAAATCATCAGTCGGCTGCCTCCTGTATGCCCACACTGGGGATTGAACCTATAACCCAGGCATGTACCCTGACTGGGAATCAAACCATGAACCCTTGGTTTATAGGTTGACACTCAATTGGTGGGCTACACCAACTGGGTGTTTTTTGTTTTGTTTTGTTTTTGTTTTTTTTAATTAAAGCTGTCAAAAACTTTTGCAGAAGGAACACAATTTTAACAGCTAAAAAGGCTCTGGAATTTTCCTACATTTGGGAATAAACTGATCCTAAAACACTACTATTTTCCTGCTGTGATTATGTATTCTTAAAATTTTTCATAATCATCTAAAATGGCTTTCATAAATATAATGATTTATATTTTAGAAGAGTAGATTCTTTCTATGAAACAATTTGACAGCAAGAAAATCTAGTGCTTTACATTGAATGGAAGAAAAGTACAGTCTCTTACGGTAGAAACAAAATCAGTCTCTTGTGGAGAATTGAACTTAATCAAATGAGAACTTTGCTTCATTGATTAATTAGCTAACTTAAACTCTTGGTTTCATAATGTGTAAATCAGCTTTCTAATCAGCTCAAGTGAATGCATTTTGTAGCATAGCACTCAATTAAACAAAACTTTTTCTTAAAATCTGATTTCATTCTTAAAGGAAGAACTGTATTTTTGAATCCATATATTTCTTTCTAAAAGAAGGATGCTTATAATATATGAATCTGTTTCCAGGAAAAAACAAAAACAAAAACCAAAAACACCTTCTTGGGGCTCAACCATCATTGAGTCTAAAATTTAATTTCCTAGTGAAAAATGTCTATGAAATAAAAAGTCATCAATTTCTTGAAAGAGAGAGTGAATATGGGCAAGTCAAGATTGGGGAAAGGGAACAGTATGCTCAGACACTGTCCTGATTCCTTTTCTTTGTTTTGCAGGACAGCTCTGGGATGAGGCTGTGGAAAAGGAGGTGGTTTGTGCTTGCTGATTATTGTTTGTTTTACTATAAAGGTGAGTTGAGGCTCAAGCCACCATGGGCACTGTGCTGGAGATGGATGGTGAGGTGATGCAAATGATAGTTGTCTCAGATTCAGTGACTGAGCTCATTAGTAACCTGCTAATCCCCAGAGGTATTCACTTTTACATATATGGATGGTTGGTGACATCATGTTTGCAAGTCCCAGCTCTGGAAGTTCCATTTATTGAGTTAAAATAAAGCAGAATCTAGTGTGCTACTACTTAGGGTCTCAGGATCTGGAGTTGTGTCAACTTCTGCCTCGCTCAGGACACAAGCACCCCTTTGACAGAGAGGTGGCAAGCATAGGTAAATCGTTGTATTTTGTAACCTGTTGTCTGGACTTATTCATTGGGATATTAGACAGACAGCTGATGGATTGAGTTGGCTATATGAACATTTATGGGACCCCAGTACATAGAGGAAGGCTGTGCAGCAGTGAGAAGGAAGGTAAAAAGGCTCTGGAATTTTCCTACATTTGGGAATAAACTGATCCTAAAACACTACTATTTTCCTGCTGGAAAATAGTAGAGGAAGGCTGTGCAGCAGTGAGAAGGAAGGTATGCCTCAAAGTGTGGAGGAAGAGATAGCCTACTTTAAAGACAAGATTGGGAGTGATAGGAGCGTTAGAAGGCATCCAGAGTGCGTAGGCAGTTTAGGGGACGTAAGGAGTTAAGTGCATGTTGGAGCATTATTGGGGTGGCTTCTTAGAAGAGATAGGACTTGAGTTGGGCTTTGAAGGACAGGTACTGCTTTGCTTGTGTTGGGGGCAGGGGAAAGGTGGGGAATGGACATTACTGGCAGAGGAAATAACTTGAGTAGAAGTTATAGAAGCAGAAGAAAGTGGAGTGACAGACCTGGGAGGCCAGAGTGAGTCTCACATGGAGGCTGTACCAGATGAGGCTCAGGAGGTGGGTAGGGGCTGTGACACTGGGTAGAGGAAGTTGGTTTCATTCTGTGTCCAATGGGCAGTATGTGTCCAAACTGCCTTTGAGTAGGAGAGAGACAGGATCACTGTCGGCAGGAAGTGGCCTGTGGTGTAATGATTAGGAGAAGGAGGAGGATGGAGGTGGAAGGTAGGATGCTTCACACATGCTCTAACTGCCTGTGTGGTTAGCTCCATCCAGAATGCCCTTCCCCATCCGTGATGACACTTTACATATTACCTTCTGAAGTCTCGCCATCCTCAGACTGTGTGTCACCTCTGCCTCTGTTCCCGCAGCACTTGGCATATGTTATATTTCAGAAGTTAGCAGTTGAGTGTGTTTACATGTCTGTTTCGGCCCTTAGGGAGAGGGCCCTGTTTGAGTCACCTGTGGTTCTAGCATTAGAACAAAGGTCCCAGGGGAACAGCTGCCTGGACTGTCAGTGAGGGCAGTACTCCTGGGGGGAGAGAAGGAGCCCTGAATTAGGGTGGTGGGATGAACCAGCCCGAGGGAGGTGCCACAGAACGCTATTCTGATGTGTTTTTCCATTCAAAGACAGCCGAGAAGAAGTGGTCCTTGGGAGCATTCCTCTGCCCAGCTATGTTATATCGCCGGTGGGCCCTGAGGACCGCATAAGTCGCAAGTATTCCTTTAAGGTACTGCCCTCTCTCCTCTAGGGCTCACGCGCCATCCTAGGAAGCTGTGTTCCCAAATAAGGCTTCACTAAAAGCAGTTCTTTTTGTGGGAGGGGGAAGAAGGTAAGCTAGAGAGTTTCACTCATGTTAACAGTTATAAATTCTTCATACATGAGTAATATCACGTCACCAGTGCTTTCATTTGTATGTGAGCTCCTAACTCCCCAGCCTTGCTCAAATATTTAGACCCCTCTTTTCCTCTCTCTGTTAATCCTGAGATTGCAGATTGAACACAGCCCTTCTCTTGCTTTCTTATCACGGTAATCAGCCAGTCTAACTAGCATCCAGCTATTGAGTACAAACGATGGTCCCTCCTAATAGATTTATATCAGTTATATTATGAAAATTTACAATGAAGGTTAGGGGGCCTGCCTGTTGAAAAGATTTTCAGGTCTGGCCATTGTGTTTATTAGTATATTGCCGAAAAGCAATTAGAATCCAATTTGGCTTACTTTCTTGATCATTGGAGATTCCCAGGGAAATCCCTTTCCTCATAAAACCCCTTTTCTCTTTCCTTCATCGCCATGCCGTGTGGAGTGAGTGGTGCCAGGATACCTGACGGCCATCCTTTGTCAGCCTCTGGCCTCTTCGCAGCCAGGTGTGGAGGCTCCAGGAAGGTGTGATTAGGCCCAAACTTGGGAACCTTGAGGCCCTCTCTTTCAGTGTCCTCCACAATTCCTCCACCGCTGATAGTTCTTAGATTCCTGGGGATGGTGAGGGTGGAGGGGTTGAAGGTCAACATTATTGGCAGTTGGAGTGGAAGTCTCACTGAAGCAAGTGGCTGCTGGTGCCAGTAACCACAGGGAACACCTCTCACGCTTCTCAGGATACAAGGCAACGACATGCATTCAAGCTGGGATCTGGGCTCCTGCCTACACTACTTATATAGCTTGGCTATTTCCATGTTGAGGGTACAAGATGAATACTAGGCAGTAGCTATTAAAGAGGTGTTGAACAAAAGCCAAGCCCTAACCTGTTTGGCTCAGTGGATAGAGCATCTGAGGAATGAACGGTTCCAGGTCAAGGGCATGTACCTTGGTCGTGGGCCCATCCCCAGTTGGAGGTGTACAAGAGGCAGCTGATGGATGTTTCTCTCTCATCGATGTTTCTGTCTATTCTCCTTCTGTGTAAAAAAAACAAAAGCCAAGTTTCCCAGCTACAGATAGTGAAAGGACCATGGAAAGCACACGGAAACACACCTTCTGTTCTCTGGGAGGGTTAAAGGAAAGGGTTGGTATGCAGTGTCCAAAGGCATCATTGGCAGGTGATTGTCTGCATCAGCATTTTGCTCTGGGGTCCACTGTGGTGGTTGGAAAGTCAAGTCTCATTTTCCTCCACCTCCTTCCCGAGCTTGTGCTTCAGCTTTGTTCATCGACAGGTGTGAGCTGTCTGTCTCCCTCCCCTGTCACTCTCCTCATGACGCCAGAATTGCGGTGGTTTGATTCTTGGATGCTCTCCCACTTCGTGTTGCAATATATGGTATTGCCTTATCTCTGCAAGACCTTTGATGGTTTGAGAAGCGCTTTTATCCATGTTAGCTCAGTGAGTGCTTGTGGGGAGCTGGTGAGGTCAGTATTATTAGCTTCATTTTATAGGTCAGGAACAGGAGGATTGGAGCGCTGAAGACACTTGCCCAAAGTCACAGGGCTGGAAGGTGATGGAGACAGACCTCAAACCTGAACTATGTCCTCTTTCGATTGAATTCCAGGGAGGGAAGACAATTTCTTTCTCTTCCTCTTATTTTGGTTACCTCCTGCACGGACATGGTCAGGGGTGCGAGGTGATTAGACTTAATGTTCATTGTTATCATTTTAGCAACATTGTTCTCTGTAATTATTCAGAAGTCTCTCCTGCTTATTGTGGGCTCTGAAACCAGTTTGCTGAGAAAACCTTCCTTTCCAGGGTCGAGTGTTGCTTTGGGCAAGCAATCTGGGTAATGATGTTGAATGTGATTTTTGGGGACAAGGTAGCATTTGGAATATTCTCAAAGTAACTGATCATATCTATTTATATTCCATCTTAACACTTTCTGAGGAGTTGTGAAAATAGATTCTAGGAAAACATCTTTTATGTGTCATAGATTCCTTTAAATTTTTTTTTCTTAGACTCTACTAAGAAAAATCTTTTTATTTGGGAGAGGGAAGACATGCATGTGCTGGGGCAGGGGGGCTTTCAGGCGAGACCCTTATGGTCTGAGAGCAGAGAAAAGCTACAACTGGCAGATCTGGTTCTCCAGAAAGGACTGCTTTCCTGAGTATGAAAGAGTACCCTTTCCCTTTGGGTTACAGCATCTCTTTCCCCGACTGTCCCCTCTAGTGGTCAAACAGGGTGTCCCCAGGGCAGGGCAGGACCCATGTTCTTGGACATAGTTACTGAGGAATGGACAGTATTTGGTGTCAAGGGCCTTATGCCTGTTTCTAATGTCAGTTCTTCTCTATTTCCGGAGCTGGAGTTCTCTGAGTGTTGCTAGGGCACCTTGCTTGAGATCATTCAGCCTTAGCTATAGTGGTGGATAGGCACAGACTAAAAGGTTTTATGGTCCCCTCCTGGTCTTTCCCCGCAACTGTGCCTGCAGCCTGGCAGTCCCTTCTCATAAACAGGGATGCTGGATGCTAGATGGACCCTGAATACAGCCGGATCTGCAGGGTGAGCCATGCCAGGCTCTCTGAGACATCCGCCTGCTCTGCTGGCTCAGCGGGGGCACCTCCCCAAAGATCTGTTGGATACACGGCCACCCTCAGCCTGTTGATCACCACTGAGCAAGGTTGGCCCTTCGGGTCCAGGATTTGGAGCACAAAACATCCCTGCCCAGCCAAGGGTCCAAGGATCTTCTGTGGGAAAATGCTTTCACCTTCTCCTTTGAGCCATTCTCCCTCTCTCAAGACCAAGGGACCTGACCTGAATGTGCAGACTCCGTAGTGCCAGTGGATAAATCATATCTTCCTTTTTTAACCTATAGTGTTTCCTTTGGTTAAGGAAGTAGGCCTTAATAAGTATCAGCAGCACCTGTGCCTTGGTCATCACTAGAAATCAGAAAGATGCTGATGCCGCATTATCATTGATGTAAATATCTTGAGATATCATTTATGAGCATCCCTACTTTGAAATGACAGTAATTATTGTTTTATGGTGTATTATTAAAGAAGCACCTGTATCACTTCTTCACAATAGTTAAAAATATTTGGTAACTCTATTTCAACATAATATATTTCCTTTATTTTAATTGTATACTTAAAAGCATTCTGAGAAACATTCACAGGATTCATCAAACTGTCAAAGGTTTCATGTGGCTTCCCCCCCCCCTCCCAGAAATTAAGACCCCCCTGCTGAATTCTGGCTGAACTCCAGCCAAGAGATGAGGTTTTCACCGATTTATATTCCACCATCTTGTGTTCTGTTCGTGGTTTCACTTGGCAGGATGTAGATCCTGGAGATACAATAGTGCGAAGGACAAAGTCCTCACCTTCCTGGGGCTGATATTCCAGACTCTGCATCATCAGCCTGGGGGTTATTAGGGAATAAGAAGAGAACATGAAAGCCGTCTTTTTCCTCTCCCACTTCAATTTTGTTTTGTGTCTTTTTCAAATCCATCTCTTCCTCTCCCCTGTCTCGGTCACTGGTCTGTCTCAGCAGCCATCACCCCTCCCCTCGGTAACCTACTCCCTGTCAGAACAGTGCCTAGTGCATAGCAAGTGCTCCTGAGTGTTGGCTCCAGCCCCCAGTCCCCTCTGCAGTCTCTCGTCCATCCTCTGCACTGTTCCTAAGTTTCACATCTGCTGAGGTGGTGCTCCCACCATAAGCCCTTCCATGGCTCCCCACTGCCTACAGCACAAAGCCCAGTACTGGTTTACAAAGCCCCAGCTTGTCTCTTCAGCCCGTTTTTAGCCACTCCCACTCACACGTCCCCTCCAGCCATAGGCAACGGCCTGAAGGTCCAGGACATTTCTTGCCCCTGGTTTGGAAACTGTCTCAAGTGCTTCTCAGAAGGCATTCCTGATGCCTCTGCACAGGCTCTTTGCAAGGATACCCCTGAAAGCACCCCGAGCAAGGCTCCCTAGCACATAGTAGGTACACAGGGATTTTCAGTCAGATGTTGGCTCCTCCAGCTTTGTAGTGCCTCTTGGGAGAGCCCGAATAGCAGCCTCTTTGATTGGCACGCAGCACATCTCATGCCCAAACTGCGAAGCGCAGTGAAGAACTGCACCCAGCTGCCTGCTGTTGCGGCTGAGTTTTGACTCAATTTCAGCAATTGTGTGCTTTGGAAGAACCAAAACAGGGATTCCTGAGAATCCGCTTCCAGGGAGTGAGGGTTTATTTAAAGCCTTTCTCACATAAGCTTTTGGGGGGGTGTCCCTCCCTATGCGCATGAGTAAGATAAGTCAGAAACCGGTAACATCTGCCCGGCTTTCCTGTGGGGGAGTAGGCACAGCGGTCACTGGGCCTGACTGTCCTGAGAGGGGGGACTCCAGCTGTGGCGTTTTCCTGGTGCCTGGGCTTTCAGTCTCTGGAAGAGGGGAGAACGTGGCTCCGCGTCTCCTTGTTTTTGCTCCTGGAAGTGAAATGCATGCTAACCTCCCTGTCCCGGGTTTCCGTCTCCCTCTTACAGGCTGTGCACTTGGGGATGCGAGCGCTCATCTATCACTCCTCCGCCGGGGGCTCTCAGGCCGAGCAGTCGGGCATGAGAACCTACTACTTCAGTGCCGACACCCAGGAGGACATGAACGCCTGGGTCCGGGCCATGAACCAGGCTGCGCAGGTGCTGTCTCGGTCGTCGCTGAAGAGGTCAGTCCCAGCAGAGGGTCCCTGGGCAAGTGCTTCCTACCTTAGGATGGGGACCCAAACAAGAACTCCCGAGCCCCCCAAGTTTCACCATTAACCCACTGGTGTTAAGCATTGCCCTCTCTGGGAAGTCCTTCTCAACAATGAATTCTTCTGGGAGGAGAATGCCATGCGTGTTGCCTGTCCCAGCCGGCTGGTCCCCTGGGCGTGGGCTGGTCCACGGTCAGTAAACAGAGGCTGGGAGAGTGACATGACTGCCCAGGTTACACCGCCTTGGAACTTGGTGTGCGTTTCTTTTTTTTTCTTCTCCTCTGTGTGGTAGATGGGACAACCTTGGGACGCCAGTTGGGGAGGAGAGAGAGGGCAAAAAAGATCTTGCAAACTGAGCCACAGACTGCCCACCATGCTATGTTCCAACTGCCCCTTCCCTCCAGTGGGCAAAGTGAGGGTACAATCAGGGATCTTGAAATTCCTGGACCTGTTGGCTGTGGTTGGCTCCTGGAGAGAGCTTGGTTTGCTCAAGAAACAGGAGCTTGGCAGTACTGCTGAATCAGAGCAAGGGGTGGAGTAGATTGTGGCGGCATCTGGGAGGTAGATAGTGGTCCATCTCTGGAGGCAGTAGGATCCCTCTGGGCCTTGCTCAGTTGCTCCCCTAGCCCTCACCCTTATGAGGATAATTCAGTACATCCCCTAGGTCTTAGTTTAGATGTTATTTCCTCCTTCCCTGACCCTTCATTGTGTTCGATGCCTCTGCTTGTAGCGCTCTGTCTTTCCTTATGCATAGAACTTTCACGCTAATGTTACATGGGCCTGGTTTCTGATTGTTGCCTCTACTAAACTATAAGCTCCTTGAAAATGAGAAGAGTGCCTGGCTTGTAGCAAATATTCAGTTATTGAGTGGGTGCATGGGTGTTTGGCTGGCTGGGCAGGTGGGTGGGTGGATAGATGAACCAAACATCTATAGAAACTCTACCTGTGAGATGTTCAGATAAGGACTTGGGATGTCCCAGACCATCTGAGCAGTGCTGTGGGACTGGTGTGGGGGACTCAGCCTGCTCAGAAATGGCTCTCTGCACTCTCTTCAGAGAACTGAATATTTGACCTTCCAAATTCTAATCACTTTGGATAAAGTGTAGCAGGAATACCTGAGGTTGGACAAGCCCTTGGCCACTTGGTGGAAGTAATGAATACTTAGCCAGGTGCAGGGCTTTGGGGTCGAACCAGGTGAGGTTTGAGTCTTGCTTGTGTCACTGGTTGCATAATCCAAGGCAAGATGGTGAACTTCTCTGAGCTTCGCTTTCATTACCTGTAATGAAAGGGTAAGACTATCGCTAGCCTTGCGGGTTTGTACAATGATAAGAAGAGGTCATGCATGTACCGACTCTTGGCTGAGGGTTTTGCACTTACCGAGTGTGCAGTCAGTGATGGCCGTTGCTGCCATCATCCCCATCCCAGCAGAGATAATTTATTGTAAGTAATCCAGCAGGCACCTGACTGCCCTCAGCCTCTCTGGACTTGACAGTACTAACCTTGCAGGCATTAGAGATAGGCTGTGTCGAGTCTGTGGCACACAGTAGGACCCAGCATTTGGTAATAAGAAACAAGCATTGGCCACAGATACTGACTGAGCCAGTACTGTGCCTGCCATGAAGGGTGATGGGAGGAGAGTAGGTGTGGCCTGTGCCAGGGCTGCAGAGGAGCCCAGGTTGATCTGGGGCTGCAGAGCACCACTTGCTCAGATAGAAGGAAGAGGGAAGGATTCTCCGGGCAGGAATGAGCAGAGTGAGGAGACCCAGCCAGCATAGAATACCTTTCCTCTCTTCTTCGTCTGGTTTGTCGCACACGAGACTTCGCCAATAGCCATTCTGCCGAGGCAGGAGGCACCTCATTTGGGCAGTCTAGAGGTTCATTTATTCTTAGGCCTTGCCCTTCTCTAGGGGCAGGCAGCCTGGGGATTGTGGAGTGTGCTCAGAGCTGCCAGGCCCTCTATTGTTCATTCAGAGCAGAACATGAAAGGTAGCCAGATACCTTTTCCCCTCCCAGGGGGACTGACCTAGTTAACTCTGGGGAGAAGCAGAAACCGACTCCTGTCTTCCTTCCCAGCCGTTTTCTCCCTCAAATGCTAGGTACGAATTCAAGCGAGCAAACCTGTCTTAGGGCTCCCTAGAGACTCTGAGCCCCTTTCTCTTCGCCCTTTTGTGCAAGTCCGTGGACTGTGTCCAGCGTGGGTCCTGCTTTGGAGCTCACTGTCCTCCTGAGGCTGAGGGTCAGTGCTGGGACTTGGCATCATCTGTCAACACAGGTTGAGCCGGGCTCTCAGGACAGGGCTTCTGCCACTGACCTGGCGCAGACCAGACTCTCCAAGAATGTCAGTGGCCTGGCCCTGGTTCTCAGCTGCTCGTCTTGTTGTTTAGGTGAGGTGAACCGGCAGGGATCCTCCAGTGGGGACTGCAACAGAGGGGCTGTATCCAACAATAGGACCAAGGTCCAACCAGGTCGCTCCATGTTGTCATTCCTCTGCCCACCCGAGTCTTCGGATGAGTTTTAATGTGTGTGTTTAGCGTTAAGATAGAGGGGAATGATATTATTTCCTGGTGAGATAAGAGTTTGGATCGAATAAAATGATAACCAGTGCACAGTTGCTTAATATGTTGTTACCTTCCAACTTCTTGTGAAGAAAAGGAACAAGAGAGAAGGATCCTGGTCTGAGATGCGTTCTCTTCCCACTTGCAGTGGAAATAAGAATCTGCTGAAAGCAGACAGAGAGCATGGCTGTGATCTGCTGAAAATGAGGGCATAGCCCCTGCAAATAAAAGGCTTAGCCCCTAATTCAGGAATTGCATTTGGTTGCTAGTCATAGGACAACCTGACTCAGGATGGTGCACTCAAATTGGGCGTTCGTTTTCTCACTGAACAGGAATCCAGGCCGGTATACCAGCTCCGTGATGCCATCAGGAGCTCGGCTCTTGCTTTTTACCCAGGTTTCAGCAGGTGGCTTTCATTCACATTACTGTCACCTTGCTCTCCCGCACAGAAGCTGCATTCTAGGTAGGAGGAAGGGAAGGTTAGCTAAGCCAGTTAAGGCTCCTTCTTTTAAAGATTTGAAGATGTCTGCGTACATCTTATTGGCTGGATCTGTGTTAGTTACATGATCACCCTCCATCCCAAGGCAGGTTGGGAAATGTATGTTTTTTTGCTGGGTACATTGCTGCTTTAACAAATATTGGGATAAGGCAGGAGGGGAGAATAGATGTTGGGAGGTAATCCATTTGCATGTGAAGACACACTGTGCGCCAGATAGGCACTGTGCTTATTCTGTGCATTGTCCCCTTTAATCCTCCCAACAGTCAAGGAAGGCAGGGGCTGGTGTCCCCATTTTGCATAGGAGAGGAACCTGAAACCAGAGGAACTTGCCCAGAGGCACCGAGCATATATTGAGGTGAAGCCAGCACTTGAGTCCAGGCCTGACTAAATAAAAAACCTGTGCCCTCTGGATTTGTTTTGCTCGGGAAGTGATATATATGGTCCAAATGGTCACCAAATGTCAGAAATGTCCCATGATTTGAACAATATCTGACTCCAGGTGCTTGCAGTGATTGCATTGGCCTGCACAGGAAAGGCTGTGTCATCTTACCTACACATCGATGCCCTGCACAGCCAGCGTCTGAGAGACACAGTCATTGACAGCCAAGGGTGCTTCATTCTTTCCCATCACTGTGCTCTACCGAGCATGGCAAATCTATTTTGTGACAGGTCTCCTGATTCGAAAAGTCATGTGTTAAATTGTTGGAAATAGGAGACAAGGAGAAAGCCAAAAAACATTTTTGCCTTCAAGCCTATAACTTAGTAAATTCAATGGTGAAGTCGGGTGGAGTAGGGAGCATTGCCTCCCCTTTCTTACCTGTAGAGCTATAGTTAAACATTTTGACCACAAAGGCATTTCCTCTATGGCCCAGCAGCCATGGGACTAGGAGTTGTTCACACCCCCAAGTCTTAGGGCCTAGAATGCTGCCAGACTACCATTCTTTTAGCTGTTCTCTAAAGCCTTGTTTTGTAGTAAATGTTGGTGCTAATCTGAAGAGAAGGATTTGTCATTCCCTATCAAATTTATCTTCAGAAAGGATTCACATACACAAGGGTGTGTGCCTCATGTGTAGACGTACAATAGGATTACGATTGACAGTTATAAGATAGAAAAGCTTGGCACACTCCACGATTTGAAGTCAGTTTATGGGAACAGTTTATTAGATGGGGTGTTAGGATCGTCTGGCTTTGACCTAGAATGTGTACATTGTGAAACAGAGTTGTCACTTCATAAATTTACTGTAAGAATTGCTTTTTCTAAAAGTGTAGAACCTGAATAGTTACTATATGTTCCTACTGCTAGAGCTTATAGGAATGAAAAAGCCCTCAGAGATCATCATCTAAATATGTCATTATGAAATGATATAATAGGATTCCTTCCACTATAAGTAACAGAGAACAAACTCAAACTTGCTTAATGAGAAAGACAAGTTATTGGTTCACAAACAAAAAATACAAATATTTACTTGGTTTAGGTATGGCTAAATCTAGGAGCTCAGGTTCAGCATTTAGGATCCTGTTTCTCTCCATCCGCTTTCCTTGGTGTTGGTCTTATTTTCAAATAGTTGCTTTTCACACAGTTGTAGCAGCTCAAGACCAGCTCCAACCAGTGTCCCAGGGCTATCTCTGATTGGCCTGGATTAAGTCATGTGTCCACCCCTGAACCAGTCACCGAGACTTTAGAGCCTCAGCTGGGCAGGGAATAGAACAGTGGGCAGCTTCCACACCCCAAATGAAAATTGAAATGCTGTTACCAGAAAGTATAGGAGGTGGGGGCAAAGAGGTCCCCTAGTGTTAGATAAAAGGCTGTCCAGAGTTTGTTGTTGTTTCCTGCAAAGCTTTGTTTTTTTTATGGAAAAGTCATGCGCACCTTTGATATGGGGTTGTGTTCCTATTCTCCAGGCCAAGTTAAGGCCAACAGTTTGTACACACTAAGAAGTAGACCCTGTGTTAGGGGGTGTATTTTCACTTTTTATTGACATTTTAATTCTGTTTTAGCTCCCAGACCGAATTGGTTTTGCCCTGAATCTGTGCTGAGTATTGGTAGCTGAGGTTATGTGGCCGTTGCAAGGCCCCATGGGTCTGGCCGCCCAGATGTAAATGTAGCAGTATTTCCATTGTGTGCTTTCATGTTGAAATGGAGAGATCTCTGGCTTGGCCACTTGAAGAGTGATGGATCTCAAGGCCAGGACTTTGTCACCATGGGGTACACATAAACTGGATGCCCCATTCAAGGGTCTCCGGTAATTTTCCTGGTCCTTTTGGGATGGAGTGTTTACCCCTCTTCGCCTCCCCAGTCTAAATTCTGCAAAGCTTGCAGAGCCGCTGCTGTGCCCCTGGTACCAGATAGTGGGAATGTTCCTTATGCTGCCATTGCTCTTGGGGCCGTGCTGGCAGCCAGTGGGCTCAGGAGTCTTTCTGTCCAAGCGGGACCGCCTCAGGCAGATGGCAATATGGCAAAGTATGAGACTGTCGTTGTATCATTTATTCACTCAGAGTGCTTACAGAACGCTTGTTCTGTAAGTCTCTGCACACAAGTTCTGGGCATCTGATGCTTGGCAGGACGGGCCTCTCGCCTGATGGAACTCAGTCTACTTGGGCCAGTTGGTCCAGGGTGACCATAGACGGTTAAGGTGCTGATCTAGACTAGGTCCATGTGGCTGGGGTGGCTTCCAGGAGGTGGTAACATTTCGGTCAGACCTCCAAGGAGTAGACGTTTAAGTGGGTGGAGTGAGGGACTGGGCATAAAAGGTGGTCCAGGCAGAGGGAACAGCCCGTGCAAAGGTCTGGAGGTAGTATGAGTGCCCGAGGGGTGCGTTGGCTGCCAGCTGTGCTGTCTGGATCGGGCTGAATGTACTACTGTCGTCATTGCAGGGACTTGGAGAAGCTGGAGCGGCAGGCAGTCCCCCAGGTCAACCACGCAGAGTCCTGTCGTGAGTGTGGCCGCGTGGGACCCGGACACGCGAGGGATTGTCCTCATCGCCGCCACGAGGACTCCTACGGCTACGAGAGGCGGGAGCAAGAGGAAGAACGGTACCGTTCCCACCCATCCGAGGGCAGGAGGGACAGGAGCAAGACCAGGTCCCCGTACTCGCCGGCTGAGGAGGATGCCTTATTCGTGGATTTACCCGGCGGCCTGAGAGGCCAGCAGGCACAGCCCCAGAGGGTAGAGAAGAATGGCATCGCGTATGGCCCAGGAGAGCAGAATGGGACTGGCGGATACCCGCGGGCCTTTCCTCCCAGGACCAGCCATGAAAAGCACAGCCAGAGGAAGAGCAGCCTGGCCCAGGTGGAGCACTGGGCGAAGTCCCAGAAGGGAGATGGCAGGAGGTCAGTAATAGAGCTAAATTGCTGCTACCTGTGAGCAAAATAACGCAGTAACGGTCGCTGTCATTTACCCAGCATGCACTGGGTAACTGGCCTTAAACTCTCTACCTCCATTATCTCAAAAAAAATCCCATAACAATTCTGAAGGGAGGGGGAATAGTCCCAATTTATAGATGAGGAGACTGAGGCTGGGGGAAGGGAAGGAACCTACTCAGGGCACACAGATAAGTGGCAAAGACATTGTTCAAATCTGGGCCTGCAGGCCTCCCGAGCCACTCGAGGTAGCATGAAGTTCTTTGTTCCCCAGGGAATGCACTTTGAGACAGTCAGCCTATATTGACAGTAACTCCTCTTCTCCCTTTACCTGCTCCTTCTCTGCGTCCAGGAAGTAGTTACAGAAACTAGAGTAAGTGCAGGCCCGTTTTTAACTTCCAGCACATAGAATGGCACTTAGACACTGCTGACTTAGACTTCACCATGCCCATCCCTTCAAGAAGCAGTTTTCAATGATTTAGGGCACGTGAATCCTTGCTATTTGCAAAGCATTGTCTGTACTTTATTATCATTTTAGATTAATAAGGGCACATTTATGAATGTGAAGCTTCCATTGTCCCCAGAAGCCCCTGTGTTTTGCCTTCATTGTTAAGACAGCAGAGCCTAGAGGGTCTTCCCCCCTCACTGTCCTCAGGCTTGTGAAACAAACCACCGACTGTAGAGGTGAGAGCAAAGCCTGGTTGCGTTCAGAAAGTGGCCCCTGCGCCAGAAAGACCTGGGGAAGGACCAGAGCTCAGGCCGAGTCTGCCACAGCCTAGTAAATATGAGCTGACTGCCACACTTCATTCTCCCTGTTGGCGAGCCAGCTCTCCACCTGCAGGCTCTGCAGGCAGCAGCGCTCCCAGGGGGATAGCACAGGCCTGCTTTCCAGCATGCGGGTTGTGTAACCTCTTTAATCCGGTCCAGGTGGACAGTCGTGAGGGTAGATGGTGGAAAAGTCACAGTGGATCCCCTAAGCAATTGGTAGACATGGTTGTAGGCCAGACCAGGAGAAGGAGGGCCTTTTGTGTCATAGCTGAGATGCTTTCCCATCGTCACTGGGACTGACCAGGTGTCGGTTTGTTCACACTTTGGTGTCTTATGGAAAACAGAAGCTCTGCTCAAGGACACAGGAGGGCGCTGCTGTGCTCGGTGCTGAACAAGGTGGTTGTAAGTGACGTTCCTGCTGAATGGGCTGGGAAAGCTGGGTCCTCAGATTAATGTGCAGGTCGTCAGATTAATGTAAGGAGTTTGGGTTTTATTTGAAAAAGCAACAGGGGGAACCACTGGAAGGATTTTTTTATAAGTATATTTTAATTTTTAAAATTTTCACAATTTAAATAAAATTCAGCTAGTTAACATAAACACAGAGGAAATGCACATAATTTACAGCCATGTACAGAATACAATAGCAACCCTCCTATAAATGGTCAAAAGATATCAACTCTTAAAGTTGATTATTAGCTATGACTTTGAAAGGTCAAGATTTAATTGTTCACATATACAGGGGTACACATTCAAAATGTTTATTAATATAAAAACCGAGTGAAACTAGAATTTTCAGTTTCTAAAAGGAGTAGCATAAGCCCTAACCATTTTGGGTCAGAGGATAGAGCGTTGGCCTGCTAGATTCAATTCCAGTCAAGGGCATATACCTTGGTTGTGGGCACAACCCCAGTAGGGGGTGTGCAGGAGGTGGCTAATCGATGTTTCTCCTCAATGTTTCTAACTTTCTATCCCTCTCTCTTCCTCTCTGTAAAGATCCAATAAAAAATATATTAAAAATAATAAAAGGAGTAGCATAAAAAGTAGTATATATCTTAACAAGAAATATAAGGGCATGACAGAGAAGAGATCTAAGTAGGCAGAAAGTTAGTACATTATGTTTTTATATAAATTTTTTTTATCGAAGGAACTATGTCTTTAGGAATGTTGAAGTCATGACCAATATTAGAGGAAAAAGCTAAACTATTACATTTGTCAGCCCCGAAAGGGCCCCTATAGGTAGCATTAACAGTCTGGGCAGAAGAGCATGTAAACAATGGACAGGCATGAACAATACTGGGATAGCAAAGGATAGATCGATTTCCAGCATTGAAACCTTTCAAGTTCAAATTAATCTTTTAAGTGATTTAACACACATCGAAAAATATTGACATGTTTATTCTTTAGTAAGAATAAACATTCATTTTTAACCCAAACTCTGTTGGTCCTAATATACTAATGCTTTTCTACAATAGGCATTAGGTTTTAGGAGACAAAAGGCTGGATTAAATTATCTAATAATATTCTATTCTTGGTTTCGAAGTTATAAATCAATTACTTGTGGGCCCATCCTTAAAGGCTGGTTCCACAGTTACATACATAATAAGAATGAAGACAAGGCTTTGGTGATAGTTGTTTTTTCCCCCCCTGGATTTAAAAGCATGATGGGATCCCACAATCACAGGGTTTGGTAATTCTCATATTTGGACTTTGAAATTTAGGAGACTATTTTCTATGGGCCACAAGTACCTTAAATCCAGAGTTCTTTCTGCTGCTCTATGAGGGTATGCTGTTTCAGTATCTACTGCTTTAACCTGAATAAGTTCAGTTTAATTTTGAGAAGATTCTACAATAAAAGTACATACCCATCTGAAGAGTGCCAACCCACCTCCAATAGTGTATAATAAAAGGCTAATATGCAACTGACAAAATGGTGGAATGACTGGTTACTGTGATGCGCACTGGCCACCAGGGGCAGACACTCAATGCAGGAGCTGCCCCTCGTGGTCAGTGTGCTCCCACAGGGGGAGTGCCACTCAGTCAGAAGCCGGGCTCATGGCTGGTGAGCACAGCGGCAGTGGTGAGAGCCTCTCCTGCCTTTGTGGCAATGTTAAGGATGTCCAACTGATGGCTTGTGGGCCTAAACCATCAGTTGGACATCCCCCCAGGTCTCCTGGATGGCGAGAGGGCACAGACCAGGCTCAAGTTCCTCCCACACCCCCTGCCAAGTGCACGAATTTTGTGCACCAGGCCTCTAGTTTAGAAATAAAATGTTATCCGATAGAAAATAGATGAAAACAAAACACCATTTTTAAAAAAAGTTCAATGCTTTAAGCCTGCATTTTTCTTTTTAAACATTTGTCTCAATTAAAAACAAGATCTACAAAGAAATGTTTCAGAGGCAAATTTTATAAATATTTTGTAGTGTCGTCCTCCCCACCCCCAGTTATCTCTGTGAGACATAAAGTACACAACAGCAGACTGTGCTTTGGGGGGGAAATGAACGAAAACAAACAACCTTGCTCCTTTCCAGTTGTTGCACAAAGAAACGGCTTAAGACTAAGACCTTTTCCTTCCAGTGCATACACAAAACTCACTTTTAAAAGCTAAATATAATGCACTAAAGGTCAGGGTAAGTTTTACTCGCTCAATACAAACAGGAATACCACTGGAAGGTTTTAGGAGGTAAGTGATATAATGTGATTAATAATCCACAAAGTGCCTGGGGAGGAAGGAGGCTGTGGTAGTGGCCGGGATGGGTGACAATGGAAACAGAAAGAGATTGGAAGTGCATTTTAGAGGTTTAAAAGCAAAACTTGTCCATGACTGGGAAGTTCAGGATGAGAGAAAGGGAGGAACAAGGAGGATCCCTAGAATTTTTGCGTGAATAACTGGGTGGTTCCGATGTGGGGAGGGTTCAGAAACTAGTTTTGGGGAAGCCAGGGTTTTCATGTTGGACATAGAAGTTTGAGAAACCTATTAGTTACCCAAGGGCAGATGTCAGGTAGGCAGTTAGATGTGGATGGGGATGTTGGGGTTTGAAGGCTGGTTGGGCACGCCAATTGGGGGCAATCGACGTGTAAATGGTACCCCAACACTTAGAAGTTAGCAGCAGGAGCGGGATCTTGCATGAGAAGACTGTGGTCAGAGGGAAACCCTGTGATTGTGGGGTCTCATGATAAGTTAGTCGTTTCCTCTTCTATGCAGCTCTTAGGAACTGAAGTCTGTGTGGAGCTGGCTGGGGGAGACAAAAGCAGGAGACACCAGGCATTGGGGCAGATAGGAAGGGCAAGGGTGGACCCCGATGAGCCTGTATTTCTGGATGGAGAGTTTGGAAGTAAGCCTGAGGCCCGTGAAAGTCGTTGGTGGACTTTCAGCAGCAGCCTGGCATGGCGCTGTGACTGAGAATGGTTCACCAGGCATTGGCAGAGAAAAGCGGTATGGCGGAAGGAATTCCACAAGCTGAGTGACTGCTATGCAGTTATAGGTTATTCATGGTGAGATGTCTCCACATAACTGTTTCTGGCAGCCCACAAACCCGCATTATTCTGCTACATGCAGTGGTCTGTGTTTAGGGGTGGGGGTGCCCCTTGGGAGCTGGAGGATGAGAAGTCAACACCAGCCGATAAGAGGTGGCTGTCGAAGGCGTTTGGCTGTTCCTAGGATGTGAGACGGGAGTTCGAGCCCTTCTTATCTGAGGGGCAGGGTGACATCGGGTCTGTGGATGAAAACAGTCCGTTGACCTTGGAGGTCATTGAGCACGCGGTGAGAAGAGCTTCAGACGAGAGGTAGAAGCCCTTCTCAGTGGGCTGAAAAGCAAAAGTGAGGGATGGAAGGCAGAGTATGAACTGCCCTTTCGGGAAGAAAGCTATCAGTTTCTGAGTAAGCAAAGGGCTCTGTCTCTAGATCATTCACTGCTGTCTTGAAAGGACTGAGTGAGCCTTGCATTCCCAGAGTTGTGGGGTGTTTTTTCTTCTTTTCTTTTCCTAAAGATATATTTGGAATCTCTTACTGTCAAGAAATAAGTTGAGCTGGCTGCTTAGTGCAGGGACCACCTCTATTTGAAAATCCTTGTTTTGTGTATGATTAAGACTTTGCTAATTTCATTAGATTGAGCAAGTTGGATATGGGAAGGAGGGTTGGTTGGGCTGTCTTAGGATCTTGTGTGGCTCTAGACCACAAGAAATTGTTTATAACTGTTCTTTCAGGACTTGGAGATATATATTTCACATCCATACACTCCTTTCTAATGATGGTTTGTGGGGAACCGGCTGGCGTACCCTTAGAATCTTAGCACATTCTAAGAGGTTGGTTTGAAATGCCAGCCTTCTATTGCCCTTGGTGTTTAAATTAACGCACACTTTTTATAAAATAGAAAGGCGGAGGAGGGGTGGAATCAGGGACTCAAACATCAGCGAGGGGCAGAGTAGGAAGTGAAAGTCCTACACAGTTGATATGGAAGTGAGGGTGAGGACGGTCTGCTGAATAAGGAATTGGTGATAAAATTTGATTTTACATTCCGATGGCGACATTTTATAGTGGCTGTGTCAGCGTTTCCTGTTTGCTTTGGTGCCTTTTGGAGCAGAGAGGCCCCATAGCCACAGAACAGGGTGTGAGGGCAAGAGACCCTGAGCACTCTTTTGGGGTAAGGCTGGAGTTGGGGGCCAGCAGATGGGTCTGCTGTCAGAACAAAGCTGCTCCCAGGGTGACCTTTATGTCATCTCACAGCCCTGTCTACCTCCTGGTCCTTCCTTTGGAACCAGGGCTCGCCATGGCACTGGGGTCTTTGGGGTTGCCTCTACAGGGCCAGCGCCAGGGGTGGAAGGTGGGGAGTGACAGGGTAGAGGACAAGCTGAGGGCTTTGGGCACTGTCCAGTGGGGTCTCTGACCGTGGGACACATAGGTAGGCACCGGCGGGCTGCAGAGCCACTCACTCCGAAGGGGTGTGGGAGCACAGGTAGGACATGCTTTGCATTTTGCTGCAGGCAGAGTGAACAGTGGTTAATAAAGTCATAAGCTCCCCAGGGGGAGCCCAGCCTGGTTTGTGCCACTGTCATCACCGCTGTTAGAGGATTCAGGCACTGCCCCTTCCTGAGACAGGGTCCCCTCTGACGCTGGGAAATCAGCAGCAAACCCTGCCACCTAGTGGCAAGGAGACAAGCAACACAGACACTAGACAAATCTGGGTTGAAGAGGTCTCATTACCTCTTGTAATTGCAAAGGTAATGATGAAAAGGGAGAAGAAAGCTACCATTTTTGAATGACAGCTATTTCTATTTAAAACCTGTTTTTTGTTGATTTTGGAGAGAGAGGGAAGGAGAGGGAGAGAGAGGAAGAAACATTAATTGGAGAAAACATTCAACATTGATCGGCTGCCTCCTTCACGCCCCCTACCTGCCATCAAGCCCTGACCAGCGACCTCTTAGTGCATGGGTCATTGCTCAACCACTGAGCACACTGGCCCGGCGCATGACAGGTATTTCTAATCCTCACAACAATCCATTGAACGGTTCTTCGTGTTCCCACTTTATAGTGAGGAAAGTGAGGGTATACATGACACCCGAAGACATATTGTCAGGAAGAGATGAAGTGAGATGAGTTTTAAAACAACTAGAATGGTTTTAGAACAATCATAAAGTTAGCCACCTCAGGCCTTGATAAAGCACAGGTGGCTAGGCCCCACCCCCAGAGCTTCTGACTTGGCAGGTTTGGGTGGGACCTGGTAACCTGCCTGTCTGACTGCCTGGTGGTGCTGATGCTGCCGCACCACGTCTTGCTCGTGGTACACACTGTGTAGAGGTGTGTTGGGTAAAGTTGGTGGATAAAGGCAGGGTCAGGACTCCAACCCAGGCCTGTCTGATTCCAACACCCGCTTGCTTTGGACAACAAGCCGCCTCTCCGGTATGACTTTTAAGGCTGAACACATCGCTACACTTCGCCCTTTGCTGAATTTTTGTTTCGCAAAATAAGATGGCAGGTTGGTTGTAGTTTTCACAATCGTATCTGGCTTTTGTGTGCCGGCGTATTTGTTAAAGGGATGTTTATGCATGAAGACTTTCTCAGACCGTGGGCTGGGAAAGAGATGTCTTGCAAGTATGACAAGGACCTCAGAACAGTTACTGACTGTACAGTCACCACGTCAGAGCAGAGCAAGAGCCCGAGGGCTGCGGCATTGTCGAGGCCTCTGTGGACGGGTAGTGTCCTGGAGAATGAGTGAGTTAGGGTGCACGGGGCACGGAGAGCCCATGCAGGTGGGGGAGGGAAGAACAATATGAGAATGCAGATAGCTGGGAAGGGAGCACCTGCTCGTGAAGGGCCTTCTGTGCATCAGGCATGGAGCCTGCATTCTCCCGTGGACCCTTCAGAACAGCTTATGAGGCAGGTAATTCTGTCCTCATGATCCAGGTCAGGAAGCTGAGCCTCAGAGCAGTGTGCAAGCTCCCTAGGGTCATGTCACCAGGGGATGCCAGAGCAAGGACTCAACCCCAGTCCGACGGCCTCTGCCTTTTCCACATGTTGCCCAGGAGTGTAGGAGGCTGGGTGGGATTGGGGGGAGCTCTCAGTCTTGGGCTCCAGGAATTACAGGGCCACATCGGAGGGGGGCCTCCTGGCCTGTTGGGCCAGAGATGCCCGGCTTGCCCCAGCTCAGTCCTGGTCCCAGTAGGAGGAGCGGTGAGAAGACAGCAGGGCTGCCAAGTGGGTTGGGGTCAGGAGAAGGGGTTTAGATTTCCTGGGCAGTGAGGGGCCATTGAAGTTTCTGGAGCATGGCAGTGACTGGATCTAAACACTTGACTGCACACTGTGTGGAAACTAGTAAGGAAGGTCTCAATGTTGCCTTGGGGCACAGGGGTTCATCAGTCGGTATGGAGACTAGAATAGTAGAAGAAAGGAACCGACGTCAGCCACATCTGTTGGGACCCTGCAGGACTTGGAGTGGCGACACCGGACAGAGGCAGCATCTCGGAAGAGCTGACGGGGGTCAAGTGGGAGAGGAGAAGGCAGAGTCCCTTCCTTGACGTGATGGGCGTGAGGTGGTCAGGACAGCCTGGTAGCGGGTTGACACGCCGAGGCTGACAGGGGAAATGGCTCTGCAGTCCTTTGTCAAGAGACGGAAGTCCTGGCTTGTCCGCTTTGATGATCCTCTGGGGTTCTTACAGGGCTCGCTCACCGGCCGGGCCTGGCACCTTTACTTAGCCATGTTTGCAGATGCCTGCAGACCCCGGCATCCTCTCACCTGTCCTCCTTCCTCCTTAGCCTCCCCCAGGACCAGACCCTTCCTCGCCATGGGCCCAGCCAGCCCCTGTCCTTCCCGGAAAGCTACCAGACGCTTCCCAGGAGCACCCGTCACCCCTCGGGGAGCTCCTCGCCTCCTCCCCGCAACCTGCCGAGCGACTACAAGTACGCGCAGGACCGAGCCAGCCACCTGAAGATGTCGAGCGAGGAGCGCCGGGCACACCGCGACGGCACCGTGTGGCAGCTCTACGAGTGGCAGCAGCGCCAGCAGTTCCGGCACGGCAGCCCCACGGCGCCCATCTCCCCGGAGTTCCCCGAGCAGGGCCGCAGCAGGAGCATGCTGGAGGTGCCCCGCTCCATCTCCGTGCCTCCGTCTCCCTCCGACATCCCTCCCCCGGGCCCCCCGCGGGCCTTCCCACCCCGGCGGCCACACACGCCCGCGGAGAGGGTCACCGTGAGGCCGCCGGACCAGAGGAGGAGCGTGGACATCTCGTTGGGCACTTCTCCCAGGAAGACATGGGGCCACACCACCAAGGTGAGGCTCTGGGGTCCCTGCCGGGCGGCTGGGGGCCAGCATTAGGGCACCGGGAGCCTCACGTGGTGCGAACACACATCTGAGCAATTGGCAGTAACGACAGGTCACACGTACGCAGTAATTTTGGGTGTCAGGTGCAGGGCTAAAGGAGTTACTTAGTTACTTTAATTTTTACAACAGCCCAAAGAGGTTGGTGCCTGTTTATTATGCCTGTTTCACTGATAAGAACTCTGAGGCATTAAGAAATGAGTAACACGCCGAAACCAGTTTGGCTCAGTGGATAGAGCATCAGCCTATGGTTCGATTTCAGTCAAGGGCATGTACCTTGGTTGCGGGCACACCCCCAGGTAGGGGGTGTGCAGGAGGCAACTGGTCGATGTTTCTCTCTCATCAATGTTTCTAGCTCTCTATCCCTCTTTCTTCCTCTCTGTGAAAAATCAATAAAATGTATATATATTTTTTTAAAAAAAAGAAATGAGTAAACTTGCATGGGGCCCGACAACTAGAAATCTGCTTCCTTGCAGCTTGGAAGGCAGGAAAAGCTGTCCATGTTCAGTTTAATCAACTATAATAATAATGAAAGGGTAATATGTTAATTAGGCCAGATGTCCTTCTGGACAAAGCAGGGGCTAAGAGGGAAGCCGGGGTCCCGGGTGCCAGAGGGAAGCCGGTGCCGGCAGTTGGGGGAAGGAAGGCCTCCTCTTGCACAAATTGCGTGCATCCGGCCTCTATGTAGTGTATAATCAGATTAAGTGTTAAGTCATCCAGGGGCTTTCACAGTCTGTCACTGCCATAATCGGCGAGAAAGGGGTGTATCCCCATTGTACAGATGAAGAGGGAGGCTCAGAGCGGTGACGTGCCTGAGGCAGGCTGCTCCGGGAAGTGAGTGGCAGAGGTTCTGGCTCCAGCCCGCCCCCTTGCCGGGCCCTCAGTGTGACTTCTTCTCTCTCCACCTGCAGAACTCCTCGCACGTGGACCGGCGCTCCATGCCCTCCATGGGTTACATGACCCACACTGTCAGCGCTCCCAGTTTACACGGAAAATCGGTAAGCGGGGCTTCACACACCGCCCCCCCCCCCCCCCCCGCCCGCCAGGCGAATGATTCAGAGCAGCCTGCAAAGGGTTAATCTCGTCTGATTCCTCCCCCTGAGCCAGTCCAAAGCAGTCTGCAGGGCAGTCAGTATCAGCCCCCAATGTAGAGATGAGGAAACTGAGGCTCAGAGAAGTCGGATGACTTGCTCAGGGTCACGCCGCCAGCGTTGGGTCCTTCCCGGATCCGATGAAGAGCTTGGGGAAGTGGAAGAGAGCGTGGGCTCTTCTCTTTCGGCGTTTTCCAGCCACCGGCTCTCCTCGGCTCTCCTCTCGTTAGCACCTCTGCTGGTCTTTGCTTTGATTAGTCAACCATCTCCGAAGTGTGAGTCTGGGTGAGGGCCGCTGCTGGCTGCTGTTTTCTGGAAAAAAAAAAAAAAAAAAAAAAAAAGCAAAAAAGCACTTCCCGCAGCCCCTTTCCCGCCAGTGCCTTTATTTGTCCTAATGACAGAATTAATGCAGTAATTGCCTAATGGTGTCACATCAGTGCTGTCCCAGCACGGGGCGAAGAGTAATTATAGCGGCGCGCTCCTGCGGTGGCTAATTTCCTCGTGATGTGTCTGCACACCTGCAGCTGGAGGAGCTCTCGCTGCTTCTCACCCGGTTACGGCGGCACCAGGCCAAGCTGGCCAGTGTGCGAGACTTCGCCGTGGGCCACTTACTGCAGCACCAGCTGGCCTTTCCCGCCTGCCAGGTCAGCACCCCAGGTCCCCGGGGCCAGGGGCCACCCCAGAGGCAAGGGAGTGACGTGCTGGTCCGTGTCCCCTGGTGCCATGCTCTGGTCTGTTCTTGCTGTCTGGCTCTCTCCCTCCTTCCCTGCCTGTTTGCTTCTGGATGCGACTGCCGGACGCCGCGCCAAGGTGATGGGGCCCATGCGTGGGCACCGGGGAGGAGGCTGCACGTGGTGTGAGGGCCCTGACCTGTGGCTTCTCTGGCTGTGAGTGGTGACCGGCAGGCTGGTGTGTGGCCATGTCCGAGGGGCTGTGCTGGCTGTCGTCTTCGTTACTGCCGTGGGTGCTCCTGGGTGCCTGAAGGTGGGTGCTGGCCTGGAGGGAGATGGCAGAGTGCCCAGCTGATGGACCAAGCAGCCTCACGTCTCTTAGCCTGGCGAGCCTCACAGGGACCCAGGAGAGGCTAGGTAGGCAGGAATGGTTAGCACACAGCAGGCAGGGGATCAAGAAAGGAAGTCGCTTGCCCGGCTAAGCATCCAAAGCCCAGGTCCGGCCTGCACAGTGTCCCGGCAGTTGCCCTCCCAGCATCTGGAGCAGCTTAAAGAAGATGCCGGTGCAGACGGGACTGGTCTGAGTTGCACAGGTATTGGCAGAAGATAGAAGGCGACAATTCCATTGCCCTCCTTCCTTGTCCTGTTTTAGTGGGACCTGAGGGACTCAGGAAATGTGCTTGGGAGGAGGAAAGCAAGGGAACACTTACAAAAACCCTAAGTTGAGTATGCGGGTGTTTGTTTAATAACATTCATTATAATAACATTAACTTATTAATGATTTAATAGCATTGCTCTGTGCTTCTTACTGCTGTGGAAAGTGGATAGGGACCAACAATAAAAAAGAAGGAAGTGTGGAGGGACTGGGCTGATTAAGGACCCGGGGAAGGGAAGGGAGACAGTGTAGGGGCAGCAATAAGATCTTGCTCATTAGTGTCCCTGGTGATAGTCCTTCAGGCCTTCTCACGCTTAAAAGCGCTGCCCGAATGTGTCGCGTTGTTCGTTTGTGTGTGCGCGTTTTACGTCAGAGCTGTAAATGGGCCGTCTGCCCAGCCACGCTCGCCTTGGCTTGCTGGAGGCCTCTTCATCGGCTGAGAAAGTGTCTGGGCTGCATTTGAAACCTCTCGGCCTCACAGTTAGCGTCCGTGACCTTTGCATGGGAAGCACAAGTCCTAGGAGAGCAGTCTTTTCCTTGTCCTCACTCTTCCTGGGAATGATGCTGAAGAACTCAGCACTCATGGAGAGTACCTTGGTTGCGGGCACATCCGTGTAAGTGATAGGTCTGACACTCGCCCTTCCTCAGGGAGCTCCTGATGTGGCCACTCTGGCGCCACACTGAGCAAGGAAGCCAGAACGTCCAGGAAACTTTCAGTGTCTACTGGTGTTTATTATTCTGAAAGCCAAGGTCAAAAGGGGACATCCCTGGGCCATCTCTTTCAGGCATTTACCCATTCCAGTCCTGGGTCACTTTGCTTCATGCATGTGAATAACTCAGTGCAAAGGTTTGATGACAACATTTGTGGCGTGTCCTCTCCCAGGTGGACCTCTGTAGTTGTCTCAGGAGATCACCTCTGCCTCCGTGGCATTTCTGTCCTAGCCTTCTGGTGGGATGTGTGCCATCCCCCTCCTTGCCATCAAATCGCCCCCTCAGCTGATGAGGGGACAAGCTGGCTTTCCCCACAGCGACCTGCAAGATCCATCCTGCTGAGAGTGGGCTCCAAGCTGCACTGAGACGTTTGTGCTTCCTCTGTGGCCCGGGAAGTGTTGGTCTGCTGTGGTCCCCGTCCCCGACGCTGTGCAGTGTCAATCGTTCATGAAGCCCTTGCTGTTCATAACTGGGTTCTCTGTGCTTCCTTTGAAGGCCGATGATACCTACCTCCAGCTGAAGAAAGACCTGGAATACCTGGACCTAAAGGTGAGCCACATCAGGGGTTCGCGCCCCCTGGACACTCACCTGACTGAGCGCATCCGCTCCATCGTAGCCAAGCCCAAGCCAAAGACAGGGCAGGTCTGATCAAATCTGGATCCCAAAGGGAGGCGGCTGCTGTCTAATCAGAGGCGTTTCATTTCTCACAGCCTCAGATTCAGCGCTTAGTTTCTTGTGAATTCTGCGGTGAGGTGTCTGTCTTACCGAATGAGGCTACGAGATTCGGATCTCTTCCTGTCCTTGGTCAGAACCCAAAGGTCCCTCTCAATAACCATCGGCTGCTTCCTCAAAGCCTGCCGTGGAGTGGGACTGAGTTTGGTTCAGAGAAGTGTGTGCTTTCGGTCCCAAGTAGGCCGGCGGATTGTTTGCTGCTGGGAGATGGTTCCACGTGGAATTAGTGGCTCTGAGGGGTGCCGTCTCTCTCACCCCCACTTAGGAGACCCTCACTGGTGATAAAGCTCCGGGCTCCAATCAGCCTCCATGGCACAGGGAGCCCCAGGAAGCCGTGGCACCGAGAGGCCTGCCTGGCGGCTGCTGCTGTGGCATTCACCGGGCTAGCCCCTCTGAAAGCTCCCACTGTGACAGCACTTCCTATGTCTGAGTCATGAAACAGGCGAAGGGACCCTGACCTTTAATTAACTTCAGGCATGAGAGGCAGGCGAGGGCTGTGGGAGGGCACCCAGGTGGCAGCCACGGGACATGCCTCCTCCAGTCTCCGGGGTATCTGGCTTGAGAGATTTTTAATGGGGATTGTCATCCAGCCTTGTAGAAGTGGACTACGATCCTCAGACTCTATGGCAAGCTGTTTAGAAATCAACTGATTGACTTCTGTATCTAGTGAACACTTGCTGTGTATTCTGCCCTGGAGAAGGGAGGTGCAAGCGTAAAATCGAGGCTGTCTGGGTTGGGGAAAGAAAGGATCCCCAAATAACAGACTAATGTACAAAGATGTGGCCCAGTGCTCAGAGCGAAGGTAGTGAGGCTCTCCATGGGCTGCCGTGCTGGGAGGGCTCCCAGAGAAGGTGGCTTGTGGGTGGAGCCTGGAAGAGCCAGAATAGTTGTGTTGGCTGAGATGAAAGGGAAGAGGGTGGAGGGAGCCAAGGAGAGCCGGGAAGGGTGGTGTGGCCGTGGCCTCAGGAAGTGGAGGTGGCTCATTCATGCTTCTGTCTTAAGCTTCTGGAAGGAAGGTGCGGTGAATAGAAGTCTGACTTTGTTTTTGGACATGAGCAAAACAGGGTTCTCTCAAAACCAGGGCATTTTCTAGTGCATGTGGCATGAACGAGGATTCTAAGTGTGGCAGTAAGGCCTCAGGGTGCAGAGTGCTCAGGCGTGGGCGTGGGCGTGGGCTAACCACGCAGCCCAGCCCCTGCTCCCAGGTCCTGATGGGACAGAGCAGAGTCCTTCCACCACCCCCACCTGCCCTCCATCTGCCACCTGTGCCCCCATATCCCTGGTCCCCGGCCTCCTGATGCCAGCCATCATGTCGCCGTGTCTTCTCATCCCTGTTCTGGGGCCTCGCCGTCGGCACAGAAGGGTTCATTGAGCATCCACGTGCTCGGCCCGGGCAGAGGCTCAGCCCAGCAGCCACACGGGTGTGTGTGAGACACTCTTCGCCACGCTCGGTGCACAGGGCGAGAGGAACTTAATGAGGTGCCTGGGCCAGAAGCCTGGGAGTGGCCGTCTTCTGACCCCTGTTTGTGGCAAGAGAGCCGAAACGCACAGTTGTCCTGAAGTAAAGATTCAGCCCAGACTGTAGGATTGCCATTAAAGGGAGTCTAGAGAGAGGGAAACCAAGGCACAGGATAGCAGAGCAGAGCCAGGAGGCCCTGGGTGTCCTGACTCGCAAGAGAAGCTAAAAGGCAATTCAGGGTGTCATGCGTGCCGGCCATTGTGCTTTGCTCTGTTTCAGTTTGTGAGCCTCTCTGGGAGAGAGGGGGCTGATTATTTCGTATAGACTGGAGCTCTGAGAGAGAAATGACTGTCTCAAAGCCACGTGAGCAGGTACTGGGGAGTCAGTATTTATGTGTTGCTCTGACTCTGGAGCTCATCCTCTTAATCCCCTTTCCTCCCAGACTTCCCTAAAAGTTTCCGTCTACCACTGTGCACCCGGAGGAGTTAAGTGTTTTATGGAACTGAACTGGGGGGTCATTGTGCCAGGAACTGGGTTTGATGTGATGGAGGCAAGGTGTGTCCTTGGGGCGTGTCACTGGCTGGAAGCTGTGTGTGCCCAGAACATTAGCAGTTGGAAGTTGTCGCTGTTTGTCATGGGCAACAGCTGTGTTGATGCCCGGGCTTCCCTGGTCTCGTGGATGTTGCTCCAGTTGCTGGCTCCTCTTGGAGAACTAGTCCCCCCAGTCAATGGGCCAGAAGCCCATGTGGGAAGAGATGCTGGTAGGGGAGGGGTGTGTGTGTGTGTGTGTGTGTGTGTGTGTGTGTGTGTGTGTGTGTGTGTGCGCTGCGTGTGAGTCACCCGTCTGGCATGGCTGAGAGAAGGCAGGAGCCACCTAGGCCTGCCTCCAAGGGCCGGGGTGCCCATATCAGGGAGGCAGCAGGCCTGCTCTGCTCTGACCCCGCTGGAGTACAGGGTTCCCAGACGAGGGAAGGACTGGAATCAAAGGAGAGGTGCTGAGGACCTGCAAACCATGGCTGAGGAGTGTATACGTGGGATACTTTCTTTTGCAAGTGTCTGCAACCCATATCAACCTACCAAGCCGAAAAGGGAATATACGTCACATTCCCTGGGGCTTACACCATGTTGTCACTGGTCTACCTCCCTTAGTGTGCAGGCTGCCTCCACATGGCTGGGGAAGGTAGCCATCTGCACATCCAGGTTCATTTCCTCCCGGCCTCGCCTCCCCTCGGAGTGAAGGAGAGATCCCTCAGGGAGGGCGTGTGGGCAGAAGCAAGAAACACAGCGGCTAGCACAGCTCCGGGGCAGAATGGTCAGAGGTTAGATCAAACTAGGGGAGACATAGAGAAATATTCCAGCTGCCTCCTGTGCCCTAAGGGGGAGTTAGGACAAGTGGAGAGTAGCTCTAAGTAGACGGGTTTCTGTTTAGTAGAAGAAAGACTTTTCTCAAAGGGCCATCTCTGCTCACGGTGAACTCCCCACCTCAGTGCAGCTGGGGCCAGAGGAGCACTGGGTGGGAGACCGGCGGGGTCAGGAGCACCCTGAGGTTCTGTGGCGTGCTAGACTAAAGGGGTGGACACTGAGTCCAGCAGGGGCCCCTGAGTTGAGGGCCTCTGTGGACACAATTGAATGGGCCCAGACATGGAGATCAGACAGGCACAGTCCCTACTGTCACTGGCTTGTGAGAGGTCCCCCCTGGGGTTTTTAGGGAAAGAAAGGAGGTTGGCCTAGAGTCCCCCTCATCTCTGCCTTAAGGATCCAGAGCCCATCACCCCCCCCCCCCAATCAGCGATACTCAGCTTCCAGAATCAGGGGGTGGGAACGTGGAGTTTTTTCTTTCTGAAATGAGCATTCTTGCTACGGTGCCAAGCGATCCCACGAAGGTGCACTCCACGGTCTTAGAAGACACTTTGTTGAATGTTCTTTGGGGAAATGTTTACTTCTCTGGTGCTTTACCTGGCAGTGCCAGGGTGGAAAGGGCTTCCCATAGATTAGGCATCAGTCTCTGCCTGGCAGTGTTTGGGCACCTGGTGTTCTTATCTCAATCTTCTGAGCCTCCTTGAGCAACGCCATAGGAGTTATTATCCCCACCTTGCCAACCAGGAACCCACGTAACAGAGAAGTAACTTCTGCAGGCACACGGCTGGGATTCAAACCCACTGACTCACTGCACACCTGCCATCTTCCTTCCGAGTACGATGCACTTCACCTGCCCTAAAGGTGTATTCGCTGAATTGTACTTCTGGCATTGAAGTTCTGCCCTTCAAGACCCTACACCCCCGGCTGGGTCTGCAGAGGAGCGTGGGGATTCCCTGTTGTCGACAGCTTGAGCTGTTTTTACGCAGCCATGAAGCACAGCCGGGGCGGGGGGCAGAGGGGAGGGTGTCTGCCAGCTGCTCAGCTGATGCCTTTGTAGGCAGAGTAGGTCGCAGTTAGTGCCAGAAAGGCGCTTGTCCCTGGTGAGGGGCATGTCACCAGTGGCTCCTTCCTGACGGTGGAGCCTGTGATCAGGGCTCCCCGTTCAGGTCTGTCAGCGTCCAGAGCAAAGTTAGTTCCTCACGGTGTGGCCTGGGACACCACCTGCTGCAGGACCCCGTGGGAGCTTGATAAATCATTGCAGGTCTGGGGTTCGGCTGAATTAGAATCTCTGGAGATGGCGCCCAGAATTCTGTCTTTTTATTTAAGAATCGAGCTTTGGGGCACTTCTTGTGCATATGAAGTCTGAGGTCTGTTGTTCTGGGGAAGAGATTATTTACTCTGGCCATGAACCAGAACAACCCGGAGAGCTCTTCCATTGAGCATCACTGCGTGGGTCCCATCTCTTAGCAAACGGTGGCTCCTGAGCCACATGCAGCTCTTGAGTGTGGCTCTCCCACAAAATAACACGGCCTGGGCGAGTCTAATTTGAAAAAGTGGCATTAGAAGAGGTTTGAATTTAAAAATTTTGGCTCTCAAAAGAAATTTCAATCCCTGTTCTCTCTGTTGACTAATGAGTTTGCCGACCACTGCAGCGGCTCTAAGGTATTGCTCTTGAAAACAAACAAACGAAATCTCCCTCAGTGTTTCTAATGTGTAGCCACGGTTGAGGGCTATTGTTTCAAAGCACCAGCTCTGGAAGTGTGATGCCAGAGCGGTGGTATCAGCAATACCTGGGAATTGGTTGGAAATGCAAAATCCTGAGGCCCGAGGCCTTCCCCAGACCAGCTCCAGCTCGGTGAGAGCCGCTGGGGGTGGGGCCCAGCAGATCTGTGTACAGGGATGGGGAACATATGGAGAAAGATAGGCAGGTTCTAGCTTTCGTGACATGGAAGTTTACTCACGACTGTAAACTACTCTTGCCCACCCCTGTATTCACAACCCCCCTCCCCCCCACCGGGTGATTTTGAAGCACCGGAACGTTTAAGAGCCACTGTTTTTGGAGTCGTTCCCAATCCTGGCTGCACATAGAATCCCCCAGGAGGGCTTTCGAGCATCCCAATGCCCAGGCCCCACCCCAAACCAGCTACAATGCGAGTCTTTTGGACTTAGACTCGGGCACCAGTATCCGTTCAAGTTTCTGAGTCATTCCAGTGCTCCAGCCAGGGCTGAGACACACTGTCTGAGCCAGTGAGGACAGTCCTCCCTCAAAGCTGCTGCACGCATCGGGATGGCGGGCGAGACATAGTGACTTCGATGCAGAGGCAGCACAGCGGGAGGAGGGTCTGCGGGACTAACGATGGCACCACTCTAAATGACCATCTGTGATGAGGGAGGACGGAGGAGAAAGCAAAGTTGCCTCTTGCCTTCTGTGGCAGAACCCCGGATCAGGTGGGCACTGAACTCAGCTCTCATGTGAAGGAGGTCCTTCAGGCAGAGCTCATCATCCCCAGTACTATAGACAAGGGCACGGAACTCCAGGAAGGCCCGCCAGCTGGGAAGCCAGTCAGTCACTGGACCACACATAACACAGCCTCCTTCAGGGTCCCCTCACCCAGTCCCCCAAATTCTGGCTCCTTCAAGTGTTGTTTGATGTCTCACTTGTGACGTTTTGTTGTGTTTGCCTTTCTGTTTGGAACAGATAAAAAATAACGAACCTTTGATCAACGTGCTTTACAGAGTGCTGAAGAAGTCAGCACAGGGCTGGCGGCCCAGGAGACGCGTAAGATGATCTGACCCGTGTCTCCAGGCGGGGCCATTCCATGCTTCTGGCTCAGCGCCGATTCCATCACCACGTGCTTAACCGGGGGCTCTCCTCACCACCCCAGGCTTCCTGCAAGTCATTTCCGTTTCTTTCCTTTCTGTCAAGCTCCTGCCAGCATTCCGGCTGGTGCACCAGGCTGCGCCTCTCATCCATCCGTACTGTCCTGTGATTCCATCTTTTTTGCTGCCACAGAGGGGCGGGGGTGGGGGCCTGGGGCTCGCCAGCTTTGCTTCCAGCTTGTGTCATGTCCTCCCTCACCTTCCTCCACCGCCAGGCCTGGCCTAGACAGAGACCGGCATGGTCTGGTAGTTGAGCATGAGCCTTTGGGGGGAGCGGTTGTTCAGGGCCATCTTGGAGGAGCTGGGTGGCCTCAGATTCCACCTCGGACCTGCATTGTGGTGGCCCTTCCTCGGGGCAGGGTGCTGATGTCTGGAGCTGGACTAGAACAAGATAGGGCCTCCCACCCCCCGTGTTGACTGACGCAGAAATTCCTACCCATAGCTTGGCCATGGGGGAGGGCATCTGTGTAAACCTCTCCCCACCACACACCCCACCTTCACGTTGTCCTGGAACACGGCCAGCTTTTGTCACTTTCAAGGGAGGAATCAGAGGCCACGCCTCAACATCCTAAGCCCTGAGAAGAGGTGTCCTGAGAGGTGGGGGAGGGGGTGGGGTGGCTGGGTCCCCTGCAGAGCCTTTCAGAGGCTGGCACCATTTCAGCCCACACTTGATGTCGTCGGTGGATTGAAACATTGCTAACACAAAGCACAATTTCAAAAGGAAAAGTAGATGTCATACACTGCTTGTGGGGATTTCACAATAATCTCGGCGCTCCGGGACAGCGACATTCAGAAGCTGAAAGGGCCTCCGAGCTGTGTGAACACCATCACAGATTCCAGCTCCACAACCTGTGGCCTCGACTCAGGGCTTCTCACCTTGTTTTGTTACAATCACAGACTGCCGAGGCAAACATTTCCCCGAATATCCTCAATGTGGCGGGCCCTGGCTGGGCTTTGAGGATGCAGAGAAAATGTGTCCCAGTCCTGACAGTCACCCCTAATTAGGTCAGTTCCTCCTAGTGAGGGGAGACAGAGCATTTCATCTGTAGGAAGGCCCTTCGTGGTGGGAGATACACGGTGTGGGAGCATCTCCCTGGAAGGGCCCCAAACCCAGCCGGAGGCAGGGAGATGGGAAAGACAGCAAGAATGTCACCTGCATTGAGTTTCTAATACCGAGAGACTCGGTCCGAGTTCGAATTCCTATCTCACGGCACCCGAAGAGCAGCATATTGAAAAGGGACCGGGGAAGTTTCCTTCTTGGAAAAGAAGGAGTTGCTAATACCTCAAGAGAAAAAAGAAACATTACATGTCCATCTAAAATGGACATGAAGTCACAGAAATTTGGGAGCACTTAATCAAGGGCCAGTAGCTTCTAAGAAATTCTATAATATATTCCTGATTTTTTTTCTGATTGATTCGTCCCCCCCATAAAAGGTTGACTATATATTCATCCTTCTGTGAAGGCAGTGAAGGACATACTTTTCGTAAGCTTTCCACCCCCACAAAAAAAAAAAAAAAAAAATTAAAAGGCTCGGCTTTCTCAAAATGCCCTTTTTTGTGTACAACCCCTCACTCAATTCCTGGCGGTGCTGGATAAACGAGGCATCGCTCCATTAGATTCTCTGCCTCGCTATTTCAGTATCGAAAAGATGTCATCTGTAAAAAGCTTTCATGATAAACGGGGAAGAGTTTTGCCGGGAGGAAAAGTCCCCACAGCATATCTCACTCTGAACATGATTTCTTCCTGGGAAATGAGCCGAGTGTCAGCCGCGTGGAGGGTAGGCCCAGAGAGAAGGTTCTGCTGCTTCCCCTGCCGGATTCCCCTGAGTTGAAAGGCCCAAGTCCTGCCCGGGAAGTCCAGCTGTTTGTGGTTCATCAGGATGAATCCACCGCCTCCCTCTCCCCTGCCACCTGTTTGTGGATTGTTGCTGGAGTCCGTGTGTCCCGTGACTGTGTGTATACGTGTATGTACGCATTACCTGTCAGTTTGAAGGGCAGAATTTGGCTGGAGATCCATTTTTCCCCCCAGGAACTCGACAGCACTGACGCACAAGTATTTCCCTTTGGCTTCCTTGCCATGCAAGGAGCCTTTGCCGAGTGCCCTTCAGAGCCAGGCCTTGTGTTCGGGGCTGACTTGACTGAGATAAATAAGTGGTCCCTGCCCTCTGCTTGTGACCAAAGGGAGCCTGGGGATTGAGGGGGGGAGGGGAGGGCGGGTCTGCAGCCAGACGCAGTCCTCAGGCCAAGGCATGGATGGAGAGGCATTCTCCTTTGACCTTGACCTGTGCTGATAATGGTTGTCAAGGAGAAAGGAGTATAGGACAGTTGGACCTCTGAGGTGACGGCAGGGGTGGGGGGTGGGGGGCGGGGGGTGAGGAGGAGAGGGGAGCAGGGCTTGAGTTCTGAGGGAAATGCTTGCCAATATATTTCTGCTTCTGATTCACATTCACAAACTTACTGGAACCCCCGATGGAGTAGGCAGGAAGCGAGGGCCATGTCCCCAGCAGCTGTCTGTCCATCCACACTGGGACACACCACCACCTGTCTTGGCCATGGTTAGCCACGCCCTGTTGTTTCCCTGGTCAGATCTGCAAAATGGAGATTCCTACGGGGGCACATTCAACTTGGCAGTTCCTACCCATAGCTTGGCCATGGGGGAGGGCATCTGTGTAAACCTCTCCCCACCACACACCCCACCCTGCCCACACACACAGCTTTTGGCAAGAAATGATATTTAGGGAAAGGAAAACATAGGCTAAAGAGTTAGGTTTAGCTTCGTAGGGGTCAGGGAGGGATGGGAAATGTGAAATCCCACCTGCCCATAAGTTTGGTTGATTTTTGTTTATTGCTTTGTGGCTTCCTGTCTTGAGAGGATGGGATAATATGCAAGCACGGCCCAACATCAGTTATTTCAGGATCCATTGGAAACCCCGACCAGGAATTATCCAGGTTCCTTCTTCCCTCGGCCAGGTCCTCTTCCCGGTAGAGTGGGGAAGGCTGATCTTACTCTTGGGGAGGTGGGCTACTCAGACCCTTCCGGAAACTCAGGCTTCACGTTGTCCTGGGAATTTGCTCGTTCCTCCTGGTCCACCCACCCCACTGCCCTGGACCTCAGTCCCCTGTGTTTGACTCTAGACTCAGTAGGAACACTCTCTTATCCGTGACTAACCTTCCAAGACTCATGCTGATTTTGAGCAAACAGAAACTGCTGTCGTTGATGATGCTATAATTTGTATATCTGCGTTCCCTTTAGTTTGAGGGATTTACGAGTGCTACTAGCACCTTGAAAAGGTTTCGGTTTCTTCCTAAAATGAGATGGGCGTGAAAATGAAGCAGATGCTGCCTCCGTTTTGCTCCTCCTGAGCTGTGACCCTCCCTGTCGCTGCCAAGACCTCCACACCCATCCACCGTGGGGCTCACTTTCCTTCTGCAGTTTGGGTCCCAAACCCTGTGGTTAAATCTCCTTCTACTTGTTCACCTCGCAGATGACAGGCCGGGACCTTCTCAAGGATCGAAGCCTGAGACCCATGAAGATTGCCGAAAGTGACATTGACGTGAGTGAACGGAGCCGCAGCTGACCGCTTGCTCCCCTGGCTGCCCACTGTCCCCAGCCCCGTGCGGGCAGTGTCAGGAGGGATTGGAGGGTTCCTATTAACACTTCGAGGCTCTGCCCTTTCCTCATCATCCCAGGCCCCCTCCAACCTGTTCTTGCTCACAGGTCAAACTGAGCATCTTCTGTGAACAAGACAGGATCCTCCAGGATTTGGAAGACAAGATACGCGCCCTCAAGGAGAACAAGGTATATATCGGTTCTGCATAACCTTAGGCTGAGTGGGGCAGGAGGTTTGTCTTTTCATAGTCATAGACTGGATGGTGTCGAACAACAGGTGTTCGTTTATCCAGAACAATGTCTTTGGGTTTAAAGGGTGTGTCTTGTTCGGGGAAGGGAAGGGGTTCTTTCTGAACCTGGAGGAAACCTAATAGAGAGACCTTGACCTAATACCACTGCCCTCCTCCCACCCCCTTAATTCTGCTCTGGCCCACTTCTCCCTGGAGGCCTGGCGAGGTGAGCCTGGGAGAGGAGGGCCCCCTCGGATCTGGGCTATGGAGGAAGCAAGTCTGGATGGAAAGGCAGGAATGGGCCGGGCAGAGTTGTGGGGCACCAATGTTTGGTCTCTTAGACACTTGGTGTGAATGTAAATGTCTGTATTTTCCGATGGTCTTAGGCTCTACAGCAGTGGTTCTCAACCTGTCTCAACCCACAGGTTGAGAACCACTAGCAGGGTCGCCTAAGGCCATCGGAAAACATAGACATTTACATTATGATTCATAACAGTAGCAAAAATTACAGTTATGAAGTAGCAACAAAAATAATTTTATGGTGTGGGGGTCACCACGACATGAGAAATTGTGTTAAAGGGTCGCGGCATTAGGAAGGTTGAGAACCACTGCCCTAGAGTGATCTGTGTTCATTGGTTCTTGGCCCCTTTGTCCTAAGACCTTAAAGAGTTTTCCTCGACTCTGATTCACCCTCATCCTCGATCCTATGAGGGGTTGATAGCCTTCTGCCCGTTTTGTAGACAAGGGAACTGAGGCGCAGAGCTGTTAGGTGACTTGCCCCAGGCCACCAGGTGGGCAGAGTCAGAGCTGGATTCAGAGACCCTGACTCTCAGGCCCCCGCTGGACACTGGCCCTCAGTCAGCAGTTTGGTGTTGCAGCTCTGTTTAGTTTCTGGTGTGTATGGGACGCCTCCAGGGACTGTCCTTATGACCTTGCTCTCTGACGCTTGCTGGTAGGACCAGCTGGAGTCCGTGCTGGAGGTGCTGCACAGACAGATGGAGCAGTACCGAGATCAGCCCCAGCACCTGGACAAGATCGCCTGCCAGCAGAGGTTGCTGCAGGAGGACCTGGTCCACATCCGGGCGGAGCTGTGCAGAGAGTCCACTGTGCGTAGAGCCGTGGAGGGTGGCGTACACTTCCCTCTGGCTGGGCTGAGCAGCGGGCTCTCTCCTCTTTTCCCTGGCTGTAACTGAATTGGCGGTCAGGGACAAGAGTCCTGGGGTAGCAGGCTGCCTCCTGGCAGGACCTTACCCTATCCAGGGGCGATGTGTCCAGAAGTACCTTACGGTCTTTTCTGTCAGCAACTCCTGCATGACTGCAGTGACACCCAAGGAACCAGATCTCTCAGAGCAGCCTGCACGGCTTTTCCCTGATCCGTGTTAATTCTAAGATGTCAGAATTTCCACTTGATCTGTCCATCTGGTGTGCAGGCCCCTTTCTGCCAGGCCTGGAAACCGAAGTGTCCCCAAGGGTGGAGGAGGGGATGAGGCAGATGGCCAGGGTCAGAGCGTGGGTGAGGAGACAGCCCATGTCTCTCTCACCAGCCGCCCCCCCAGCCTTGCGGGGCTCTCCTCCTCTGCCCCTGGCGGGGTGGCTGTGGTTGGAAGCACAGGTGTGCGTGGGACTTCCGGGGACGAGGACAGCTGAGAATCGGAGCATTTCCCTGGTCCACAGGAGATGGAAAATGCCTGGAATGAATACCTGAAGCTGGAGAGCGACGTGGCGCAGCTGAAGCACACCCTGCAGGAGCAGCACCGACGGGCCTTCTTTTTCCAGGTGGCTCAGGGGCTCTCCCTCCATCCTGGGCTCTGATTCCTTGGGAGACACCCAGCCAGGGCCTTCTCTCCTCTCCCAGGGCTCAGCCTGCTCACCTCCCTGAGATCTCCCTCTGGGATCCTTCTCCCGGCAAGGCTGTGATGCCCAACCTCCCCACAGTTCCTACCACCTCTCTGCTGTTAGACAGATTCCGGGGTGTGTTTGTAAGGGTTTTACATTCGGTAAAACAGCCCCAAGAGGAGACAGATGCCAACCTTGAGATCCTAGAGGGATCTGTGTTCGCTGGTAGTTGGCCCATCTCAGCTCCTCTCTATTCACTAAGACAGCAGCTGGCAGCCCCGCCCCCTTCCTTCCGTCCTGATTCCTGAAGATAGATGCTATCGAGCCTTCCCCTGAGGAGGCACTGTGAATCCAGGAGGTGCCAGGCTAGGAGATACCCATCGCTGTGGCCCCTGCCCTCCTCAGGAAAGGCAGCCTTCGGGCCCAGCTTCCTCTGTCCTTAAAAACCAGGCCACCTGTTGACAACTGCCTCTGCCCCCCAAGGCGAGAGAAGGAAGGCCTGTGTGGTTTTCCTTCCTCCCTGTCCAGTCCTCAGAGGCCCAGCATTCGTTCCCTCACTGTGCTGCCCATCCAGGTTTCCATTTTAAAAATGGAAGGTAACCTGCTCTTGAGCCCAGCTTCAGGGCTCTGTCTCCTCTTTCAGGCCCTGTGAGTTTGATTTTGAGTTCAGCGAGTATTCATTCAGCTAGGCCAGTTTGGCTTGCTCATGGACGGAGTAGTTCTAGCCAAGGCTTCTCACTCAAGTGACTTAATGAACATGTTGACTCTCCTGACATCAGCCTCACCCCAAAAAGAGATGGGAATTCCGGTCTGGGAGGCTTTTCCCAGGTCCTGCTGTGTCCCCCCCACTCACCACTGGGCATTGGGTCTACAGAGCCCCATCCAGGGCCATGTGGAGACCTGCCTGTGGAGACTCCGTGGGTTGAAAAGAGCGTACGTCTCCGTGTGGCTGGGTGCTGCCGGATCGCTCTCTAAAAGGCTGTTCTCATTTGCCCTCCCACCCATGTGAATGAAAGTCCGGAACCCGTCTGCCCACATCCTTGCCAGCACTTGATGGTATCACTCTTTTTAGCTTTCGCCAGTCGACTTGCTGAAAAGGACATCTTGTTTTAATTTGCATTTACATACTCACACAGTAGGTTAGACATCTCTTCATGTGACCAGGGGCCATTTGTGTTCCCGCTGCAGCTTATTTCACGGGGACTTACCAAAGAGGCCCAGAAGCCTCTTTCTCCTCCACAGTACGGTTGGGTACAATGCACAGGTCTTGTCTCAGACTCCCTAGCAAGTGACTGAAACACAGGCCGGCTTGGAGCCTGGTCCCCGCTGCTTGATAGGCATCTCCCCGGCGGCCCCGCTCACCCTTTCCCCGATGCCTCAGTGACCGGAAGCTCACAAAGCCCTCCTTTGAACAGACACTGTGTTCACTTCGGTGTAATTCAAGGCCAGGCAGGCTGTTGAATAGAGGCCTGAATAAATCATTACACACTTTCTCAGCAGTGGGGCCTGGAAGCTCGCCTCCCTGCAGCCAGGTTTGGCTGCGAGAAAAGCCGTAGCCTTTTTTATGGAAGATGCGTGGCTTTGTGTATAAAGATTTTCATGGCCACCTGGGCGGGGAAGCCGAGGATCAAAGCGCACCTGGGTAGCTGTGTGAGGGCAGTAAGAGGCGAGGCTCCCTGTAGGTGTCCGATGAGTCGAGCCTTTGCTGCGTGGCGTGCACGGCAACCATCCTGCCCAGCCTGGCGTGAGGACGCGGGAATGAAACCCCACTGCCTTGCTCCCCAAAAGCTTCCTTCGCCACGCCATTAAGTTCTGAAGTTCCATCGCCCTTGGAGAGAGAGAGAGGTTCTCCGGCCTGCTCTTCGCTTACGGATGGGGGTGAAGAGGGCAGAGTGGGGGCGGGGCTGTGAACTAACTGGTAGGAGAAGTGTGTGCCAGGGAGATCGCCAGGGACGGAGGGAGTGGATTCTAATCCCGTGCTCCCCCTTCACCTGCTGCCAGCACTCGGCCTGGGACCTCCGCTCCAGAGATAGCCCTGCTCACTTGTACCCACTCTGGGCTCACAGACACGTCTGTCTGCTTTAGGACACTTGTGCTTCGGTGAGGAGTCGAGCCTCAGGCTCATTATCGGCTTGTCCTCCCTGAGGATGTGCGGTGGTTTGCGTGAGAGGCTGAGCTGCCGGGAGGGAGGCCTCAGACCTCTGTCGTCATGGCTGTTGGACGGTGTTTGACCAGGAACTTTTATGTGATTGGCCCCTTATCACTGAACAGACACGTACTAAGAATCTGCTGAGAACTTGCCTCTGGGGGAGGGATCGGGGAGCACACAGTCTAGTTGTAGAATCAGACGTGGCCATGAGCCTGGCGCATGTGAGAACTCTCCTGGCTGAGTGTGGCCGGGGAGGTGAAACTTTCTGTCCTCCCCCGTGGTCATTTAACAGCTGGAAGAATATTCTATGTGATGCTTAAACAGCTCTCTTAAAAGGTGCCCGCCATCGCTGAACCACTGCAGACCCCGCTCACGTCTTCCAGGGCCTCTTCCCAGCCGGTTTTCGTTGTGACTTCCCAAGTGTGCCTGTGGCCTGGCTCTTTCCCCATTACTTTCAAAAAGAGCAGCTCTGCCATAGCCGGTTTGGCTAGTGGATGGAGTGTTGGCCCTTGGACTGAAGGGTTCTGGGTTTGATTCCGGTCAAGGGCATGTGCCTCAGTTACAGGCTCAATCCCTGGCCCGTCGAGGCTCATGTCGGAGGCAGCCAGTTGTTGTTTCTCTCTCTCCCTCTTTCCCTCCCACTTTCTAAAAAGCAATGGGAAAAATATCCTTGGGTGAGGATAAGTAAAATAAAATTAAAAAATAACAGGTTTATTATATAATTCTCTTTTGAAGTATACAATTTATTGGTTTTTAGAATATTCAGAGTTGTGTAACCATCCTCACAATATTATGACAACGTCATCGTTCCCCAAAAGGAACCCTGTACCCATGAACCGTCACTCTCCATCCCCAGCTTCAATCCCCACTCCTGCTCTAGCAAAGCACTAATCTACGTTCTTTCTTCCTGGATTTACCTCATCTAGACATTTGTATAAATGGAATCAGACAATCCTTGGCCTTCTGTGTCTGGCTTCTTTCATGCACCATAATATTTTCAAGGTTCGTCCACGTAGCATGTGTCCGTACTCTGTTCCCTTTTATTGCCAAAAATGTCTGCAGCCCATTGTGCTCTGAACTAAACTTCACATCCCAGGACTGTCTTTTAAATGATGCTCTTTATAGTCTAGGGAAGGCGTAACCTCTAGTCCTTGCCTTCTCTTCCCTTATGTCAAAGTTGCCTGAGATGGCCCGTTTTTAAAAATGGTGGTAAAATGTACATAGCGTGAAATTGACACCTTCCCCGTGTTCCGGTGTACAGGTTGGCAGGGTTAAGGGTATTCGCATTGTTGTCCATCCATCTGCACAGCTCTTTGCCTTGCAGACCTGGAATTCTGTACCCAGGAAATAACAGTCCCATCCCTCCGCCTTCCCCCAGCCCCTGCACCCACCCTCTGCTTTCTCTGAATCTGACAGCCCTCATGCCTCACGTAAGCGGAGTCCCACAGTGTCTAAGGCAGCCTGATTCTAAATGAGGTGGAACTAGGCCAGGTGGACTTGCGAAGGCGCCCCTGACGTTTCTCTCCTGGGCCTTGAGCATCCTTCATGTCTGTGCTTCCCCGTGAAGCCATGGAGCAGGCTGAGCTCTCCCACCCGGGGATTGGGGGCAGGGGGAGTTCCCAAGGAAACGCTGCCCGCCCAGGGTGAGGGGCCCTGTCTGAAATGACAGCGCAAGTCCCGTGGAAAAGCGTCTCGTGAGGGGCTGAGGAGGAAGTGAACTGCCGCTCGTGTTCCGTAGGAGAAATCGCAGATACAGAAGGATCTCTGGAGGATTGAAGATGTCACCGCGGGCCTGAGTGCGAACAAAGAGAACTTCAGAATCCTGGTGGAATCGGTCAAAAATCCCGGTCAGTGAGCTGTCTCCTGGGGGCCAGGGCCCAGGCAGGAGGGGTGGCCCTCGGGGGTTGAGAGGGGGGCAGGTACTCCTGTGTGTCCCTCTGGGAAGTAGGTCTTGGTTCCATCCTCTCCTTTGCTTCCCTCTATGCATGCCCCTTAGAGAGAAAAACAGTGCCTTTGTTTCCTCACCCGCCTGTGCCTTCACTCTCAACGTCGGAGAGCAAGCCACCCCCACAGCCCAGCCCTCCCACCAGCCCAGTGCGGACCCCGCTGGAGGTTCGACTCTTCCCTCAGCTGCAAACCTACCTGCCCTACCGGCCTCACCCGCCCCAGCTGAGGAAGGTGACGTCTCCTCTCCAGTCACCGACCAAGACAAAGCCCAAAATTGTAAGTACGACGACCAGGAGCTGAGCGCCGCCTTTTCCTCTCAGGCCAGCTTCTCTCGGGAGAGGAGTTTGTAGGGAAACCCGGGGAGATAGAACCAGCCTAACTCCTGAGCCATGAGAGGGTAAGGAGCGGAAGGGCCCTGCCATTGGACCTCAGACTCCCAGACTTAGTAGGTTCCCTTGGAGAGAAGCTAGCCCAGCCCTCCCATTTTGCAGCTGGGAAAACTGAGGCCCAGCAAGAGGAAGTGACTGTGAGGAGGAGGCAGGATTTGTGATCTGCACCGTGCATGTAGGTGTGTGGGCTGCTCCTTGTGAATCTACAGTCACACACGTTTGTGGGCAATGAGCTCATCTCAGCAGAAGAGTCTCCCTGATCTTCACCTGCAGTTGAGCAGGTGCTGCTGGGTAGTAGGCACATTTGAGCCTCAAGATAACCTCATAGAGTGCAGACAGGAAGGTCAGTATCCCCATGCCACAGATAAGAGAATTGAGACCCAAAAGGTGTTTAATTTGCTTACAGTCTCATTATTGATTAGTGGAGTCAGTCCACATCTCCTGATCATTCCCCGTGCCATCTGCCATCTTATCAGACATCTGCCCCCGGTCCTCAGGTCAGATTTATGGCCCTGTGACTGCCTAGGCCAGTGGTCGGCAAACTGTGGCTCATGAGCCAAATGAAGCTTGTGAGCCGCTGTTTGCTGCTCTGTTGACTAGTGAGTTTGCCGACCATTTGCCTAGGCCAATGCCCTGGCTTGCCTGGTGTAGAGAGAGTCCAAGCCCTTGGCAGAGTCTGGGACGACAGGAGACTTGAAGGAAACAGAAGATGTGGTCAGGTACCGGGATAGCTCAATCTCCAAGGCCAGACCAGCTCTGGCTGGAGAACCCAAGGGGTCGTCCAAGTGACCAAAGAGCCTTACCCGAGGGGGCCTGGGAAGGGAGCCTCCGGGATTTTGCTTGGAGGAGCTTTGCCAGGGCACCACGTGTGCCTGGTACCTCTGAGGACTGCACAGCAGTGGCTTACACACACAGGTTCCCATTCCCGTCCTCTCCATCCACCTGCCATGGCCCAGGGCCTAGAGCTGGGAGACAGGTACCAGGACCCAGAGTCATTGTGAATTTCTTTATCTTAAGATCTCTCTCCTCATCCCAGATCGAAGGGGCCCAGAGCACCAGCCACAAGCCAGGAGGTAGAAATAGCAACCTAAACAGGAATGGCTGGGGAGGGTGGCTGCTGACGTGAGGCAGGTACCTGCCCGCCGGGACCAGCAGCAGAGGTAGAGGGTTCTGCCTGGGAGCCAAACCAGCTGGATTCCAGCCCTTGTTCTCTCTGGGTCCTCCCTGATCTTCCTCAGTTTCCCCTTAGGCACAGCAGCCAGCTCTGACTGGGCACTCACAGAGGCCCATCTACCCAGCTGGGTCCTCTGTGGCTTGGGGGCGGGGCTTTTCCACTTGGGTCAGCATCACAGCCAATGGGGGCCTTCTGTCCCCTCCTCTAGGACTGCATGTGTGTTCACTGTTTCACCATATTTTTTATTATTATTGTTTGTTCTTTTTATATTTATATTTGTGAAATAATGACAACGTGAACATATTGATGTAAAACATGAACATATCATTTAACATATTAATAAATAGACCACCTATGTTATACGAACACCCAGACTAAGAAATAGCTTCACAGCAACTGGAGCCCTCAGGCCTGTGGGTTCCTTCCCAGTGCAAGGCCCCTTCTGCCAGAGGTAGCACAAGCTTGGCATTTGGGATCATTTCCTTACCTTTTTTTTTTTTTTTTTTTTTTTTTTTTTTTTTTTTTTTTTTTTTTTTTTTTTTTTTTTTTTTTTTTAGTTTTGCTACCTACGTTTGCATTTCTACATATCTTAAATTTGCCTGTATTTATTCTTTGGTATCTCGCATCTTTTCTTCAACATTATGCTGTGTGATTCATCCCCATTATGGCATGTAGCTATCGTTCTTTTATTTTTATTTGGCTTCGTTTCTTGAATTTATTGTCACTTACCTCTTTATTAGATAATCCTCTTGGAGGGTACAAAATCAAAAGATATGAAACGATATATAATAAAGGGCCTCCCTCTACCCTCCGCCTCCAAACATTCGATTGCCTTCTATCAAGGGCAATCGATGGTTTGTGTCTATCGTTCTGGGGAGCTTTGTAGAAATTGGTGATTCTGAGACCTTTGTCAGGGCTGGAAACCGGGAGGCTCAGAGAGCCTGTGGGGAGAACACACACACAGCGATGAAATGGGTTGCATGTGAAGCATTCTGCTGAGCCTTTGCAAGGCAAGCGGGCAGCGCCCTTTCCCGAACTCTGCAAAATTCTGGAAAACAAAGCAAAATTAGACTCAGGAAGGGGGAGTTTGGGAGGAAGGAGTCTCAGTTGTCATGTGTTCCAGGAGTAGGTATCCCTGGCAGTTGGGAGCCTGCTGTTGCTCCATTGAGAAGCCACCCTCAGAGAGGGCCTGGGCCAGATGGGGTGCGGGGGTTGCGGTGTCAGGGAAAATAGTGACATTCGTCATCCTCAGGGAGTGAGTTGGCTGCGGGGCAGGCAGCGAGTCACCCATTCTGACCCCCTGTCCCGCCCCCACGTCGGGAAGGAGGAAATGTTTTGTGGCCATTCACATTTCTGAGAGAGAGGGCAAGAGGAGGTAGACGAGTGATCGGCAAACTGCAGCCCTTTGGCCCCTTGAGCGTGGCTCTTCCACAAAATGCCACGCGCAGGCGCGCAGGTGCAGTGCGATTGAAACTTTGTGGCCCATGAGCAGAAGTCGGTTTTCGGCTCTCGAAAGAAATGTCAATCATTGTACTGTTGATAGTTGGCTCTGTTGACTCACGCGTTTGCCGACCACTGAGGTAGACTGTCCTTGCCCCGTGCTCCCCACCTGCGGAGGGGTCCTGAGACCAGGCAGGACCCGTGCACTCAACCTAAGCACCCAGGAGGGGGCTGACGTAGGATGGGGAACGGGAGTGCTGGTGGTGGGGCTGTCATAGACTTACCAGTAAGTGCAGGGCTGCCAGCCTGCTCCCCCGATGGTGCCTTCCAGGCAAGTAGAGGCCTGAGTTCTGTGTTTGGGGACGCAGTCTAGGCAACACTTGGGAAAATGGAAGATGGGACCCAAAGGGAAGAAAGGATGTGAAGCCAGGATGTCACCTTCTCCATGGCTCTGCCAGGGGCATGGTGGCACCTCTGGGCTGACGTGGCTGTGCTTTTCAGGTCTGGGGGGGGGTGAGGGGGCTGTTCCAGCCATTTGCCCCCCCACCCCCCCCGGGGTGGGACCGGGCCTCCTCCCTCCAGCTCCCTCTCACCGGTGCTCTCCCTGAGCAGGAAGACGAGGCGCCGCCCAGGCCCCCGCTCCCTGAGCTCTACAGCCCGGAGGACCAGCCGCCGGCCGTGCCGCCTCTGCCCCGGGAAGCCACCGTCATCCGGCACACCTCCGTGCGCGGCCTCAAGCGGCAGTCGGACGAGAGAAAGCGAGACCGGGAGCAGGGGCAGTGCGTGAACGGGGACTCGAGGGTGAGCAGAGGGCCCGGGGCTGCCCGGGGGGCGGGCAGGGGGGAGGGGGCGTGACGCTGGGCGGGTGTGACCGCTCGGACTCTGCTCGCAGGGGGAGCTCCGGTCCTACGTGAGCGAGCCCGAGCTGACGACGTTCGGCGGGGACGTGGCTCAGCCTGCCCTGGGGCCCGTGGGCTCTGAGAGCAGGTACCAGACGCTGCCCAGCAGAGGTAAGCCAGGCCTCCCCACGGAGGCTTCTGGGAACCCCAGCTCTGCCCGTCATCACTGCTCCCCAACCCTCCCCCAGTACCTCGCACCCCTCCGCCCGCAGCTTTGGGCCTTGGGTTCTGGGCTTCGGGGAGGGCCTGTCCTTCCTTTCTGGGGCCCACCTGCTGGCTCCCTTTCCCGTTATGACGTCTGTTCCCGGGCATAATGCCGATAGCAATTGCTGTAACTCTCGGAGCTGTGTCGTGTTAAGCACTTTGTAATCACTTAGTTACTATCATAATCTATGAGGGAAGTACTATTATTATCTCCATTGTAGAGATAAGAAAGCTAGAGCTCTGAGACGTGGACTTGCTAATTGGCTAGGGCAATGGGTGGAGCCAGATTCCAGCCCAGTGTTCGGGCTGGGAGAGTGGTAACCAAGGGCCTTAGAGGGCGATGTCCTCTTCCGTGTCACTCTGGGGCTCAGGGAATCCTTTCTTTCTTTTTTTAATTTTTTATTATTATTTTAAAAATATATATTTTATTGATTTTTTTTTTTTTACAGAGAGGAAGAGAGGGATAGAGAGTTATGGATGAGAGAGAAACATTGGTCAGCTGCCTCCTGCACACCCCCTACTGGGGATTTGCCCACAACCAAGGTACATGCCCTTGACCAGAATCGAACCCAGGACCCTTCAATCCACAGGCCGATGCTCTATCCACTGAGCCAAACCGGTTTTGGCTGTGAATCCTTTCTTTAAACAAACACACTGTTCTCTTCCCTTGGGTCTTCTTCTCGCTGCCCTTCCCTATCCCTTCGAGATGGGGATGGGAACAGACGTAGGCCCGTAGGCTCCCTAGTAGCTCATCTTTCCCAAGGCCGGACCCTCTTCCTCAGAATCCTCCGCTCAGGGAGGCCTTCGGGAACGCCCGCAGCCCGCGCTCCCGCCTCTGCTCCCCCTGTCTGCTTCCAGAGGCGGGAGGTCGAGTGCTTCCCCCCTTTGGCCGGGTGGACGGAACACACAGCTGGGCTCCGGCCCGTGTGGGGTGATGTGACTCCCACCTCACCACGCTGTCTAGGCTTGCTGTGGCCTGAGTTTGCGGTGGCCTGGGCGGGTGTCCCTGCTGAGTTGGGACCATGGCCGCCCTTGGTGCTGTACCCCGAGGCCTGGCAGCCTTCATTCATTATGGCCTGGAGGTGTTTATCCGTGGCTGTATCGGTGACATTGCGGGGCAGGACAGTTCTTTGTTGCTTGGGAGTCTCTGGACGTTGTAGGACGTTCATCCCTCTCTTTCCCCTGTGCTCTGTGCTGGTGGTGTCCTCTGTTGGGGTGTCGAGGACCACCCCTGGTGAGAATCATGGCTCATGGAGGGAGCACAGGCGTGGCAGGAGCTGGCCAGGGGGAGATGACTCCTCAGAGCCATAGGACCCCGACACAGGGCAGTGAGGCCCCTGCCGTGTACCTCGGACAAATCTCTGACCCTCTGTGAGCCTTAGATCGGCAGCTCTGCCGTGGCCAAGTAGCGCCTACTTTGAGCAGAGGGACCATCCGCAGAGCAGGGCCTGACAGAGCAAGTGCTCAGTGAACGCTTCTGTCCCTTCATGCATTTGCTCATTCAGTCAGCCAACCAGGCGTTGTTGAATCTGCAATCTAGCTAGGCAGGCATGTGGACACTGCCTGTGGTCAGTAACCAGTGAATATACCCAGGGGTATTGGGAATAGTTGGTCCTGCCTCAGCGTTGCAGGGGCCTACACCCAGGAGGCTTTCTGAACTGGGTCACGCAGAATGCTGCGAGTTCAGCAGCAGAAAGGGGTGAAGGAAGACCAAGCCCTCCATCCTTTCCACCTCCAGCGTGTGCGGGAAGACTAGGGTCGTCCACAGACCTCTAGGGGCACTGTCCCCCAGTGGGGACAGGGCGCGCCCCTGGACTGGCCCCTCCTCTGCTACCTGGGGCCTTGCTCTCCCAGGTCCTGGGGAGGTTGTTGGCTGAGCCCCTTGGTCCCTTCACGGCGGTGGGAGGTGATTGGGGAGGGGCTGGCGGCCTGGCCACCCCACCACCAACACCCCTGCCTCTCTCTTTCCCCATGAAGGGCTCTCGGGGTCCACATCGAGGCTCCAGCAGTCGTCCACCATTGCGCCCTACGTCACCCTCCGGAGGGGCCTGAATGCCGAAGGCAGCAAGCTGAGCTTCCCCGTGAGTGGCCCTGAGAAGCTCCCGCGGAGCTCGCTGCTCCCTCACGCACAGAGGGACGGGCCCCGCGGTGGACGGTGACGGCGATCCTGTGAGGTCGTCTCGGCTCCTCCCGAGCTCAGGGTCCCTGTCGCCACGTGCTCAGAGATGTCTCCCCCACAGTCCACCAAGAGGGCATCCCCCTGCCCTTTCTGTTTCCTGAGGACACCCCCCCACACACACACCTTTCTCCCCAGCCTCTCGGGCTCCAAGGAGGGGCACCCAGGAAGTCTGCACCATGAGTTCTGACCCCACCATGTGCCGCCTGCATGCCTGACTGGACAGGCCTGGGCCTCGGTGTCTGCATCTGCAGAATGGGCTGCTGCCCAGGAAGCCCGGGGGGCCAGGGGCGTCGTGGCTATGAGTATGCTTATGGTTCTCCACAGGCCGAGAGGAGCCCAACTAGATAAGAGTGTGTTTGTGTGTGAGAGAGAGACAGACGGACGGACACAGAACGGGAGCGAAGCCGCCGTGTGGCTGCCCCGTGTGTCCCAGCCCAGCTGCCCTGTCTCTCACCTCTTCCTCCTCAGAGACCCAAGAGTGCCGTGGAGCGCCTGTACTCAGGGGACCACCAGCGGGGCAAGATGAGCGCGGAGGAGCAGCTGGAGCGCATGAAGCGGCACCAGAAGGCCCTGGTCCGGGAGCGCAAGAGGACGCTGAGCCAAGGGGAGAGGGCGAGCCTGCCCTCGTCTCGCTACCTCGGCCACCCGCTCCCCGGAGACCTCGGCTCAGTATGTTAGGAGGGTCCAGGCAGGTGGGGCTGGGGGACAGGGAACAGAGCTTCCCCGAGTCCCCCACACACAGGCATGTCACAGCCCGGAGAGAGGGGGCCGGTGACCTAGAGCATCTCAAGGACACCCCTCGGGGAGCTGTGGTGTTCACACACGCTGGGACACGGGTGTGACCGGGCCAGAGGGTGATGGGGAAGCAGAGCTGGAGTGAGAAGGTCACGGCAGGTGTCAGGGAGCCGAGGAAAAATGTCCAGTCAGTGCTCTGAGTGGAGCTTGACAGAGAGAGGCCTTGGTGGGCATCGGGAGTCTCGTAATCAAGGACTTGGGAGTAGGTACTTGGTTTGAGGATTCAAGGAGTGGAAGAGGAAGATGGGGAGCTTTGATGAGGAGGAGCACAAGCCCACCAGCCCCCCAAACTCCCACGCGGTTGCCCTATGGGGCAGCTGAGCACGGGGTCACGCCCCCCAACCCAGGGCTGTGGTCTCCTGCTGCTTGTGGTGCTCACAGGCCCACGGTGCCCTGAGAGCCGGGGAGTGTGTGCTGCCCCTGGTGGTGCTTCCCGGTACTGCGTCCCGCCCACACCCCATTTGACTTTTTCCCCTGTTTGAAATCAAATGTTTCCCTAGACCTCTAGCCTGACTGTCCTTTCCCTCATTCATTGCACAAGCTCTTTTGCTTTTAGCGTTACTGCTCGCTCATTGCCTCTCTAATCCTGCCTGATGGTGTTTACAGAAGCTTCTGATTTGCATTGAACGGTCTCTTTAACGGGTCTGCGCTCTTTGTTACCAGGCTTGTCACAGCAGCTCTTGTCTCCATAGCCTCGCGAGCACTCCCATGTGTGTGACTCAACCTTTCCGCTGCCCGCTTCATGCAGGCCTGCTGACTCACAATTAATTCGCCCTGCGAGGCTGAGCTGCCCTGCTGCCCGAGGGCCGTGGTCACTGGCAGAGGTCTGGGCATTGTGAACTTAACCAAAGTCTGTGTCTCACATCCAGTCCATAGGCACGGACCTCAGAGATTGTACATTTGAATAAATCCTATCAAGTCTAAGTTGGTTTGTTTTTAATTCTTTTCGGTCCCACAATTTCTAATGGAAAACTCTTTGTGTGTTTTTAGTACTTAATAACTAGAACAGGTAGCGCGCTCTAGTCTGTTCTGTATTCAGAGGGTCCCTCTGCAGCGGTTAGCTCAGACACCAAAGGGGTAAGTCCCAGGACACTAATCTCCTGAAAAGCTGTAAAGCCAGTAACTTTCAAACTTTGTAAGCAAACGTCATCTGGGGGAACACTGACCTTTTACAAACTAATGTCTCAACTGTAGGAAGGTTATCTAAAGATCGTAACTCGAACACCTTGTAATTTTTCTCTTAAAAAAAAAAAAAAAAAAGAAAGAAAGGACTTGTGTTAAGTCTCTGTATCGACGCCAATAAACGTGTTGCTAACGATAATGGATTGGCATGGTTCTTCCCCAGGACACATGGCAGAGCCTAGAGGCCTTTCTCTGTTTGTGGAGACAATCAGGCCGGGTGTAAATGAGGACTTCTCTCTCTCCGTCCGGGGCACACGGGAGCCTGTAAAGAAATGTGCTTTTTATTTCGTCTGTGAATCATTAAATTCATTTTTTATCATCCTTGGAATGTCAAACTGCCTAATCCTTTCATACTGTGATTGGAAACCTAAGAGCGATTCTATTGGCTTGGCATCCGTATGGAGAGCTTGTGCATGAATGGGTGAAATGTGCTGAGACTGGCGATGGGTTTTGGGACTTGCGGGGGGGAGGCACTTGAAGCATCCTCAAAGATGATCATGACCACTGGGGGCTCTGTGAGGCGGGTGATGTGGGAGAGAGGAGATGACCTGGGGTGGAGAAGCATCTGTTTGGTTTCTTTGGCTTTGCGCCTGTTCCCTCCTCTCAAAACCCGCTCCGCGTCCAAGGCCTGTGAGGATGCAGGCCACTCAGGGCAGCCTCCAAGTCACACCGTTGTGCTTGGGTCTTTAAATGGCCAGTTCGGTTTTCCCTCTGTGAGGAGACACGGAACAGCCTGGAAAAGGTTGCATTTGATTTGGCATTTCAGTTCTACACGTTGTTGTTCCTTTTTAACTTAAAGGAAACTTTTGCCCCACGCAGATGCCTTGATTCACAGCTGTGTATCTGCCTCCCTGGCCCCAAGCTGCTCTCGCTTGGACCTCCCCAGCCCATCTGTGGGTGCTGAAGGCCCAGCCCTAACGGCATCCTGTTGAGAATCCCCTTTCAGAGGCTCGTGGCTATTCCTCTTGCTCACCAGGGCCTCAAAGGGCTTATTGTTCCTTTATTGCTGAGCTGGGGCATACGGCTCCTGCACCCGAATGCTCCCCCAATGGTGGGACAGCGGGGTGAGGCAAACCCCTTCTCCAGAATTCTCCCAGGTTGTATAGGTGTCACCCTCTTGGACCTGCGAGTCCCCTGGGGACCATGTGAGTCTAAAGTCATGGGTCTTGGACCTGTGCCCTGGGGATCATGTTTGCACCCTCGGGGGACCTAGAACAGAAATAAATCAGTCTGAAGTCAGGCCATCTAAAAGGGCCAGAGGCCCCTTCTCCACTCCTCGGGGAGGTACAGCATACAGCCATGATGCCCGTGTCGTAAAGCTGCTGCCTTCTTTAGAGATGAGGTTGAGGTCCAGGGTCACATAGCTCCACCTGATGGGATCACAGACGCATCTTCCCAAGGACCCCAGGGCCTGCAAGATCGTTCAGGAGGGGACCGGCTGGCTCCTGCCCCCATCACGGAGCGACTACACTTAACCCTCTTGTTCTGTTGCCAGTGGAAGCGCGAGCAGGACTTTGACCTGCAGTTGCTGGACCGCGCCGTGCAAGGGGAGAGGAAGGACGAGGAGGAGAATGGCTGGTTGAAAGTGCAGGCCGTGCCTGTCACTGAGTTGGACCTGGAGCCGCAAGACTATGACTTGGACATCAGCAGAGAGGTGAGGGCAGGGGGTTCCTTCATGCTCCCCCAGGAGTCACAGCCCTCAAGCTCCCAGCCTGACCCACCCTCCCAGGGCAGTAGGGGGTGTTGCCCTAAAGCGGGGATAAGGCTCAACTTGTGTGTTGAGACAGGAGGGATGGCAGCTTGAGGCAATAAAAGGAGCCCAGTGTTTTTGATGCAGGCTCAGATCTCTGTGTCTCTGTAGTTTGGACCTTCTCTGTGCCCCGGTTTCCTCAGTGGTGACGTGGGTTGTGATGAGGATTAGCGGATTCCAGGTGCGGCCTGGAGGCTTAGCAGTGATCGGAAGACCGTGAGCTCCAGGCCCGGGACAGCACAGGCATGGAGTGAGGTCGTTATTGTTAGGAGATGTTCCTTGCAAAACCCAGCATTGGCCTTGCCACTGGCCTCTCAGGCTGACGTGGGCAATCAGGCCTGAGGAAGATGGGAGGGTTTGAAAAGCCCAGGTGGCATTTCCCGCCAAAGCAGAAGCTAGACCTACATATATTAGCTCTGGTTTGAATTCCTTTGGCGCCCTCTGGTGGCCCCAATGCATCATGACCGCCAGGCCTGGGAAACCAAGTAACACCCGATAGGGATGACATAGAGATTCGGAATATCTACCTAGAAGAGAAAAGGAATCGGGGTGAGAGATGCAGTCCTCAAGACAGAGGGCGGTCCCCTGTGACCTCTCTTGTGTCATTGGTAAGCCCTGTAGGGCAGATGCTAATGCTGTTGGGTTCACGTTTGCCCCCGAACTCCGGGCCAGCACATAATGGTGCTCTGTCACTGTTTGCTGAATGAGGGCTCTGTTGCATGAAACACAGCAGATATCCCAGAAACATTTATATGAGGACGCTGCCTGAGGAAATGCGCTCACCACACGAAGGGTAGGCTTAGCAGTGTGGGGGGCCCACGGAAACGCCCCGGAGGATGAGTTCTGGGGTCAGCCGGAGCGCCAGGGGTTAATGAGGCCCCCGCCCTCAGGCCCTTTGCCTCTGAAACAGCCGAAGGTCAGTGCTTTCTCAGGCTCACAAAAGAAGCTTCTGCACGGCCCGGCCAGTGAAAGTGTCCTGCCGTGTCCTCGTTGCCTGCCAGCCAGGGGAAACAGTCCTTCCTTATCTCTAACCTAAATCCCTCCGCTCAATGCAATCTACTTCCTTCCTCTGGATCTGCCCTCGTTGGAAGCCACAGAGAAGAGCTCATTTCTCGCCACCTTTCCCCAGAAGGAAAGGGCAGCCTGGGTTTAAATTCAAGTCCAGATTTGCCCTGGGATTGGATTTAGCTGTTTGTTTGTTTTTTTACAAGCTCCAGCCAACCCCCCCCTTTTTTTTTTTAACTCAAAGAAAACACATTTTTATTTATTGTTAACAATAGGTATTTTACAACAGGACACCGACACACAGACTAACACAGCCGGGCTCCCTCGGGCTGCCCGAGCCCCGAGGAAGCCTCTCAGAGAGTCAGTGCTCCGGCAGCAGCTGTGCTGTCACTCTCAGGGGCTGCTGTAGTTCAGGGAGGGAACATTCCCGGGGTGTGCACGGCCTTGAGCGGTCTCTGCCCCACACTCCTGGGTTCGCATGAAAGGCTTTGGGCAGGGGTCAGGCCGTTTTCCTCCAGAGGGAAGCAGACGAGCACGGCTGCCTCCTGTCTAGCTCAGAGGAGCTTTCGTAGGGACGGAAGGCACTATCACTGCCCAGCCATCCCTCCGTCTGCACCCCTACTCACCCTCCCATCCAACTCCCCATCCACCAGCCATCCCTCCATCCACACCCCTACTCACCCGCCCATCCACCAGCCATCCCTCCATCCGCACCCCTACTCACCCGCCCATCCACCAGCCATCCCTCCATCCGCACACCTACTCACTCACCCATCCACCAGCCATCCCTCCATCCACACACCTACTCACCCGCCCATCCACCAGCCATCCCTCTGTCTGCACCCCTACTCACCCTCCCATCTAACTCCCCATCCACCAGCCATCCCTCCATCCGCACCCCTACTCACCCGCCCATCCACCAGCCATCCCTCCATCTGCACACCTACTCACTCACCCATCCACCAGCCATCCCTCCATCCACACACCTACTCACCCGCCCATCCAACTCCCCATCCACCAGCCATCCCTCCATCCGCACCCCTACTCACCCACCCTTCCACCAGCCATCCCTCCATCCGCACACTTACTCACCCTCCCATCCACCCACCCACCTTCCACCAGCCATCTGAGGAGTGTTTGCTGAGGACAGCAGGAGGTTGGAAGGGGCAGGGTCGGAGGGCTTCTTGAGGTGCGGGTGGCATGAGGAGGCAGGGTCAGTGGAGCAAAGGAAGAGCATCCCTGGCGAGAATGGCCATTTCTGTCCTGAGAGCTCCTAGCCCAGTTGTTCTGCCTCCCCAGCCCCTCCCTCGTAGGAGGTTGTTTGGTGGAGTGGACAGAACATGGTTTCTGGAGTCAAACCCGCCCGGCTTCCGATCCTGACTCCACAGTAGGCTGCCATTGGGATCTTAGCAAGCCCACCCCCGTGGGCAACGCATGCTTCCTTGTGAGGGACAGGGTGTGGGAGTGGGTCCTGAGCGCAAATATCTGAGCGCCCCCTCCCCCACCCTCCTTTACCCCCGTTCCATGGCCTCCTGGTCCTCTCCTCAGCTGTCCAAACCAGAGAAGGTCTCCATCCCGGAGCGCTACGTGGATCTGGATCCCGAGGAGCCGCCCAGCCTGGAGGAGCTGCAGGCCCGGTACCGCAAAGCCGAGAAGATCCGCAGCATCCTCACCCGGTCCAGGTCAGCCTCCCGCTGCCTGCCAGCCCCGTCCCGTGGTGTCTCAGTGGACTGGGTCTGGGCCAGGCCGGCTAGGGTGCATGTTTCACCCTCCCCGTTGGCGAGGGCTGGCTGGCTGGCGCTCAGTGCGTCCCCAGCACCCCATCGGGGAGCTGGCCTGGGCCACCTGGGCTGTCCGGAAACAGGGCCACCCCTGTGTCCCGTGACCCTGGCTCATGTGGGGGGCGGAGCCACGCATGGCAGGGACGTGGACTCAACTGGAGCTCCAGCACTGGGGCCCGTGTACCCTCCTGCAGACCCACAGGCAGAGCCAGGAACGCTGTTCCCTCAGCCTCCATAAACCCCCCCGTTTGCGGGCCTCTCTGTCAGAGCTAAGGTAGCCTTCGCACATCTGGATTTAGCAGGAGCCTGCAGCTGGAGCTCTGATCTTGAGTTCAGTGACCCACCCCCCCCCCCAAATGAAGAGGGAAGCTGTGATTTGAGGGTATTTGCGGAGAAGCACCAGTGGTTTTCAACCTTATAATGCCGCGACCCTTTACTGATAAAAACAGTGCACTTCTGCCCAGCCAGCGTGGCTCAGTGGTTGAGCTTCAATCAGGAGGTCTTGGTTTGATTCCTGGTCAGGGCACATGGCCAGGTTGTGGGCTCTATCCCTGTGGGGGACATGCAGGAGGCAGCCAATCAGTTTTCTCTCTCATCATTGATGTTTCTCTCTCTCTCTCTCTCTCTCTCTCTCTCTCTCTCTCTCTCTCTCTTTCTCGCTCTCCCTCTCCCTTTCTATCTGAACTCAATAAAAACATATTTAAGAACAAACAAACAAAAAAGCAATGCACTTTCTCTCTAGACCAGTGGTTCTCAATGCCGCGGCCCTTTAATACAGCTCCTCATGTTGTGGTGACCCCCCCAACCATAAAATTATTTTTGTTGCTACTTCATAACTGTAATTTTGCTGCTGTTATGAATCGCAATGTAAACATGATGTTTTCTGATGGTCTTAGGCTCTACAGCAGTGACCCACAGGTTGAGAACCGCTAGCAGGGTCGCCTAAGACCATTGGAAAACACAGACATTTGCTTTACGAAGTGCACTGTTTTTATCAATGCCCCTACGAGGATGGGAGCCCCAGGCTGGGAGACCCCCTCCCCGGAGGCCAGTGGCTGGGGTGGCGAGGGCCCAGCACCTGCTCTCTGGCCCTCCCACAGCATGTGCAACCTGCAGCCGGCCGCGGGCCACGACCGGAGGAACAGCGTGGCGGACCTGGACTCGCAGATGCAGGAGCAGGAGCGCATCATCAACATCTCCTACGCCCTGGCCTCCGAGGCCTCCCAGCGCAGCAAGCAGGTGGCAGGTGAGGCTACGGGGGCTGGGTCCTGCTCGCTGCCCCCTGGAACCCGGGGCCAGTCGGGGAGTCTTTGTGGAAAACCAGGCGTCAGGCCTGGTGGTTGGGGGCCAGGGGTGTGTTCTGTCCCATAAGCACTCAGGGCTGGGAAGATGGCGTGGGGCAGGCTGAGCGTTGTGGGGGCTGGAGCTCAGGAGTGTCAGGGATCAGGCCCCAGAGAGAGGGCCATCGCTCACTCTTAGGTGTGAGGCTGGTGCTCTGTTCAGCTTTCCCAGAGACTGTGGGTTAAGAGCAGGCGTTTCGGGGCCCTGAGCCCAGGGACCGAGGCTAAGGTTTCTGCCTCGGGAAGAAGGGGACAGGACGGCGGTGGGTGCTTGGACGTCTTGCTGGGGCAAGGCACTGTGGGGCCCTCTGGCCGTCCCTGGGGCCCCTGCTTTGGTCCCCAAGTCAAAGCCACCATTCACCTTACAGCGGCCTGACCCAGAAAGCAGGACTTGGGAAGTGGGACTTTGGGGGCCACTGGGGAGTCGGGGGAGGAGGGGGAACCATGAACAGGAGGGTGGGTGCACACCGGTGCCTGCCAATGTGTGTAGTGTGTAAAGGCTTCCTCAGCTGGAGAGGGGCTCCTGGCTCCTGGCTCCTGGCTCCTGGCTCCTGGCTCCTGGCTCCTGGCCCAGCCCCCTCCCCCTCCCTGTGCCCTCCCAGTTCACCCAGCACTTTCTCCCACAGGTGGTGGGCGGTGCCCTGGGCAGCTGTGCTCTAGGCCTGCCTTCTGGGGAGAGGGCAGTCACAGCTGACGTGCCCAGTCCCCACCAGGCCTCCCGCCCTGGCCAATGGGTCTGGAAGTGACCTGGGATGGGGGGGAGGGCGCTGCAGGGCCCTGAGATGACTGGCCCTGGGGGGTCTGGTCTGGGCAGCAGAGTCCTCCTGGTGCCTTGAGAAGCCATGGGAATGACCAGGGACAAGCAGAGGGCCAGGATCTGCTTCTCGGTCCCCGGAATCCCTGCTGCCCTGACTCCATCCGGGGACATGCTGGGCGGCTGGGAGGTGGTCGGTGTGGCTTTCTGGGAGGAGGGACAGTCGGTGGCTCACAGAGCCTCCTCCTCGTGATCCTGGGGGCTCCCTGTGGCCCACCTCAGCCCTTTTGAGCTCCTCCCGTGTTGAGGGTCCCAGCGGGGATACTCTCCTCCAGCCTGTGCTTGCTCTGTGGATCAACCCCTCTCCCCCAATCCTCCCCTTTTCCCCCCTCCCCCGCTCCCTTACCACCAGAGGCCCCAGAGCTAACACCTCACTCAGGCCCCCTCCCCTCCCCACTGAGTGGCCGCCTTTGCCGCAGCCTTTCCTCCCTCTAGTTCCCTCTCCCCATCCCAGAGATATATCCGGATCCGCAGGTCAATCCCGGCCAGGCCCCATGGATGTGGCCCCCTGAGCCCAGGCCGTTAACGGTGGGCCGTGAGGCTTACACACACACCCCACCCCCCACCCCTGCCGAGTGGGGCGTCTGCGCTGCGGGAGCCGACGAGGAGCCTAACGCGCCCCTTAATTCCTGTGCCCGTCTAGCGCAGCAGCTGGCCCTCCTCCCGCCTAAAGGGCCCCTGTCCTCCAGGACGGTGCCACCCTACCCCCCCCTAAGCAGCGGACTCCACTACACCTTTGTCTAACACCGTCCAAGTAAGAGCCTCGCCCGCCCAGCGTGCCCCTCGCCTAGTGCTGAGCATGCCCGCCCTCCCCCCTGCTGCTGAGATGATTGCTGTGCGCCTGCCGCTTCCTTCCTTCCTCTGGCAAAGCGGCCGCTGGGGAGGCCGCCCTGGACGGGTAGGGGTGGGGGAAGATGGTGGTTTTGGGAAACTACATCCTCAGTGGCTCCAGTACAACAGAGACTGTAAGATCCAAGGCCCCGACGCTTAGAAATCTCGAGAGCTAACCGCAGGCCAGAGAATGCCCCATGGGGCCAGTGCAGGCCGCTGGGCTGGCCGGAGGAGGGGGAGGCTGGAAAGGAAGTTGGATCTGGCTGCGCTGGAGGATGGGGAAGTCCAGTTAACAGATGAGGAAACTGAGGCCCAGGGAACGGATGAGGGCTCCCTCTGTGCCACACAGAATTGGCGTCTGAGCCAAGCCTCGCACTGCCCCTTCGGACACTTGAGCACTTTGGGGTGGAGAGAAGGCAGCTCGCGGGAGGCTGCCCAGGGCCATGGGAAATGGGCCGCGGCCACTCAGAAGGCTCCGGCACCAGTGCTTGGAGCCCTCCCCGTGCGAGCACTTCGTGATGAGCTGCACGGGGGGGGGGGGGGGGGGGGGGGACCGGGATCGGGGGCAGAAGGCCCGCGTCTGGCCCGATCTTGTGAGTTGCCTCCCAGCCCAGTAGCCTTAACCTGGTCACCGAGGGGTCAGAGCAAACGTCTCAGCAGTCCTTTCCCAGCCACTGACTTGTAGGGTTTCCCCCCTCTTTCCTTTATATGTCCTTATGGTTAACACTGTTGAGAACCTACTATGCTCCAGGCATTGTAAGCATTCTCTTTCTTTGATCCACACAACAACCCTATGAGGGTATCCGCCCCGTTTTTGAAATTGAAGCTCAGGGACCTGAGGGACTTGCCTGGGGAGTTGCAGCTGTGAGTGTCAGAGCCTGAACCCCTCAGGGCGGATTCGGAGCCTTTGCTCTCCCTCAGCTCCCGTGGGCTTCCCTGTTCCCCCCCACTACCCTCCCCCCCCCCCCCGGAGCTCCAGCTGTTTGGAGAAGCAGTGTCTTGGGGGACAGAGAGCCCACCGGCTCCCCCCCCCCCCCATCTGGGGGGTAGAAGGAAGAAGCAGGCAGGCCCTCGGGGAAGAATGAAGAGCACACAGGGGATGCTCAGTCCTGTGTAAAGGCCGCAGCGGGGCCAGGCGGGGGGTGGCTTTCCTGGAGCACCTACATCCCAGGCCACGCAGAGGCGCAGGAGACCCACTCCCCTCGCAGCTTCGTGTATAGGCCTTTCGCGCACCTGTCTGAGCACACCCACGCTCCCTGTCACCCTGGCCGACGCCCGGGGAGGGGGGCCTCTGATCACCCTGGGTTTAGGTGAATATCAAGGCTCAGGGAGGCTGAGAGCGCTACCAAGTCGCTCAGGGAAGCCGGGGCAGGGCCAGAACTGGACCCCAGGGTGGTCTGCTCTTACTCTCGGAGCAGGGGCCCAGTTTAGGGACCAAGACGTGTCTGGCGATCTTCCTAGACGGGGTAGCGTTTGGGGGAGGGTGGGGCCAAGCACCCCTGAGTCCTGGAAGCCGAGGGTCCGGCCCGCCGCAGCCGCCGCATTGCCTCCGCCTTCTGCTCTGCCGCTCGTCCGTCTGTCCGTCTGTCTGTCTGTCTGTCATCCCGTGTCATGCGTGTGTGCAGACATGCCTGCTCCCCTGACAGGGGCCGGGGCCTGCCCGGTTCTCACGGTCTCCTGTGCTGTTTGCAGCCCAGGCGGTGACTGACCCGTGACGGCGTGCGGAGGAGAAGCCGGCAGCCGGGGTCCCGAGAACCAGCCTGCTCCGAGAGAAGATGGACTTTTCTTCCCCAAGAGAACCCTTCCCAGCTGGGCTCTGGCTGGAGGAGGGGGCAGCCCACCAGCTAGGGGGGGTGTCCCCCACAGGGCTGGGTCCCCCTCTCCCGCCTTGCGTTCGTTGACTCCCCTGGACACGACAGACGCACGTTTGATACACACTGTAAAATACGGACACTGTATTTTAGAATCAGGATGTATTTTCTAATGTTCACCTCAAGGGCTGAGTGGCTGGGGAGGCGAGGGTGTGGGATGTGGGGCTGCACGCGCAGGTCCGGATACCGTTGAGTGGCAGGGGTGTGGGGGAGGCAGGTCCGACACCGATGAACTCAGGTGAAGGCTGGGTCAGAGACTGTGCTCCGGGGGCTCTGCCCTGGAGGAGGGGCCCTGGGCTGCAGAGCTCAGCTGTCCCTGCCCTGGCCGGCTGACCGGCTCCAGAGCAGAGACTCCACCAGGATGGCACGTGGAGCCCGAGTCTGTGCCTTGGCCCTTGGGCTTGGTTTCGGGAAACCGTGAATTCAAGGGCTTTGGCTCCCGGTCCCCCTCAGGAGGTTCTCTCAGCGAAGGGCTCTTCTCGGAAAGAAAAAAGGGGTTTGCTTTCCTTTAAAAAAGAAATTTACTTTGAAACACAGGAAAGGTGAGAGGAAGCACCTTCGGTTGTATCGTAAGCAATAAACTCCACACTGGGTGGCATCTACCCAACACCACTTGGCCCCAGGCCAGGCTGGGGTCGGAATCTGGGACCTTTGCTGGCCGCCTCTGGAGGACCTGTCAGCTTTCCCAGGACTCGGCCGGTGGCGAGGGGGCTGGCAGTGTGTGTGCCCCGCGGTCCCTGCTGGCTGCCAACCGGCAGGGCACAATGGCAGGACCTTAACTTGACTTCCAGCCCCAGGTGAGGAGGGGGCTGCCGAGCTAGGCGTAGTGTTGGTGCCCTTTACCCAAGTCATGAGCTCATGGCATTCTGCATACAGAAAGCGATGTTTAAAGGAAAAAAAAAAAAAAAAAAACCCATCCGGTGGAGCCACACTTTCGATGAAAATTGGTCTTTGACTGTGGTCAGAAAAAAACGTCTTGAATATATTTAGGAGTCGCCGTCTATTTTTAACTAACTCCATATGCTGCCAGTATCGACGTCACAACAATTGCCAAAATAAGATTTTATTTTTGCCTTTATAAAGATTTTGTTGGGGAAAAAAATGAAATGAATATTTTGCAAGAAAAAAAAGTTAATTTAAATAAAAGTGTAATGGTTTGCAAAAAAAAAAAATGTGATGTACAGATTAAAATATTAACCTGATACACGTCCTGCTTCTTGCCGGCTGTATTCTCCTGAGGGGCCTGGGCTAGTGTTCCTCCCCAGGTCTTTGGAAGATTGCACTGTCGGCTCTTGGTCCTGCTGGTATTCCCCTGAGGAAAGTGTCTCCCGCTGACAGCTCCTCGCTACCTGCAGGGCCTCGGAGGCCTGGGGCAGGAGGCCTGTGCTCCTGGCCCAGCGGCTGCTCACGGCGGCCCACGCCCACCCCACCCCCTGGACTCCGTGTGGGCTGGCTTGGCAGGCAGACTGCAATCCAAGACAGCAGGAGGGACTCCGCCGGCTCCCTTCCAGCCCACACAGCGGCTCCCTTCCAGCCCACACAGTGCCCAACAGTGCCGTCCAGTGGGGTGGGTTAGGGAAGGGCCGTTGCAGAGTGGATTTGTATTTAATTCCCTTTGATTTGCCATATATGCTTAAAACAGAAGGCGAGAGGCCGGTTGCGCGTCCGGACGTGAGTATTTCCAAGCCTGGCGTAACGGCAGTGTTTCTCCCTTGCCAAGGAGAGCGCCGCGGTGCAGAGGGACTTTCCGCTAGGGAAAGGGGGAGGGGAAATACAGTCCAAGGCGTTCTGAACAGGAGGCATTGCCCGTCTTTTAGCTGCTGATCTCTCTCTGAGTTTCACAATAAAGATCCCCTCCTGGGTAAGCATTTCTTGGAGATATCTCCGTGACAGGAGTGGGGTTTGCGGGAGGAGGATTCCTCCGGGACGGCGAGCACAGGAAAATAAAAGGTACCGGGCGCCGTGCCCCCACGTGGTGAGCGCAGGTCAGGGTCTTCTTCCTGTTGGTCTCAGGTCACACCTGGTCCTCTGAGGGGGAGCGTGGCCACTCTCACTGTTCTCTCCAGCTCCCGCAGGAAGGAGGGGGAGACCTCTCAGAGAAGCACGGCCCACATTTCAACCTGCGGAGAGCACGCTGGGCCCCCGTTCAGGCTGCATGGAGAGAGCCAGCTGCGTCCTGGGGCAGCAGGCAGCCGGCCGGCCCCCGTGCGAGGACTCTGGCTTCCTGAGGTAAGGTGGTGCCGTCTGGGGAAGTGTTGGCTGGCCAGGGGCCCTCCGCAGGGGACAACCCTGAGAAAGTCCACCTCTTTATATCCTATATAAATAAAGAGGTAATAGGCAAATTGATCCTCACACCCTCATACAAGATGGCCACCCCCATGTGTTCAAAGATGGCTGCCACAAGATGGCTAGCAGGGGAGGCCAGTTGGGGGTGATCGAACTGGCAGGGGAGGGCAGTTGGGGGTAATCAGACTGGCAGGGGCGTGGTTAGGGGGTTATCAGGCTGTCAGGTAGGTAAGCAGTTGGGAGCCAGCAGTCCTGATTATGAGAGGGATGTCCGACTTTTGGTTTAGGCCCTGTGGGATTGGGCCTAAACCAGCAGTCAGATATCCCCTGAGGGGTCCCAAATTGAAGAAGGTGTAGGCTGGGCTGAGGGACAGCTTCCCTCCTCTCCCCCCAGTACATGAATTTTGTGCACTGGGCCACTAATATATATTTCAGAGAGGAAGGGATTGAGAGAGAAAGAAACATCAATGATAAAGGAATCACTGATTGGCTGCCTCCTGCACACTCCCGACTGGGGATCAATAGAGCCTGCAACCCAGGCATGGGCCCTGACCAGGAATCGAATTATGACCTCCTGGTTTACAGGTTGATGCTCAACCACTGAGCCACGCCAGCCAGGTGAGCTTGGCCTCTTTAGAGGGGACACAGCGCCCGAGCAGTTTTAGTGATGGAATTGCAGTTGACAAAGGAGGTACCTACATCTGTTTGTTGGCATCTCCTGATTTTTAACTTCAACCCGGGCCCGGGTTGCTTCTTGTTGGCTGTGTTCTCCTGAGTGGCCTGAGAACCAACGAGGACATTTTAGGATCTAGTCGGAAACGTGGGGGCTAGGAATAAAACCTCTTCCTGATCCCCAAAGGAGTCTCCGACTGCCCAGATCTCAGCATGCCCAGGCTCTGTTTCAGTGACTGGAGCTGAAGCGGGTGCTGAAAACAAGCCTTCTGTGTGTTCCCGTCATGAACTCCATGTTTGGTTGTGGATGGAAACTGCCCCTAGCCCCTTCCTCCTCCACTGTCTTTCTACAGAATTTTCCTAGCTGCTGTATGTAGGTCGCAGCCCAAGGACAGGGAACCCTCTGTCCGCCCACAGTCAGCTCAGGGGTGGAAGGCGTGGAGAACAGAGTGAATGTGGAGCCTGGCTCAGCCAGACGAGAGCCCGTTTTAGGCTTTGAACATTTCCCCCGACTCTGGCACAGCCCTCCAGGGCACGTCCTTTTTCAGTGGGCACCAAGGGTGGGAAAGAAGCAGCCGATTATCTGTCTAACCTATAAGTCACATTTCTGAGACGTGGCATGCAGTCACTCTTAGTTCTTTGCTTCTGATTCAGTGTCAGATGCTGGGACTCATGAGGGACTTTGCCCACGTGAGTTTTGTGCTATTATGAAAAGAACAGTGAACGATGGAGGTGGGGAGGGGGGCGGTGAAAATGGCAGCCCCTCCCAGCCCGGTAAGCATGCCATTGCTTGGCCGCCTCCACACCAAAGACGACCACTCTCTGCTCTCCGAGCAAAGGGTCCTTTCTTCGGCGTGAGTGGCGGGTACAAAGGCAGAGCACAAAACGTGTGCACATCAGAGCCCCCACGATTCCGTTTGAACAGGCGTATTGATTGGGTCTGACCCCGTTACATTTCCCCCTATTATCTGAAAAGGTGCATCTAAGTGGCAGTGAATTGAACCGGCGGAGCTGAACTTTCCAGGAGAACTTTTCTCAGGGTATTTCTTTGGTTCAAAGCGTTTGCGTTTTAAAGGGCATTTTTAATACGAGTCTGTTGAGTATTCTGTGCCACAGCCCAAGGAGGGATGTTCAATGCAGATGAGGCTGGCGGGTGGGGCTGGACGTGCCCGCCTGGCGGAGGCTGTGGGTTGTGGTTGGGGGGTGAGGACCAGCCGGGAAGGGTTGTGCTTTGGGGTGGAGGCTGAGCCCCGGGCTGTGGAGCAGCACACAGAGGTCCTCTCTGAGCTCATGGGGGACAGCGTAGGGGACAGGGAAGAGGCTTCCCCGTCGAGCCTCTCGGAGGCGTTTGCGGGAAGCAGGGGAGGGTTTGCTAGGGGCTCCGTGGAATGGACGAGGGTTTTGTCTTCAGGAGCGAGGACTCCTCGCTGGGCTGCTCAGGGGCTTGCTGTCTCTCACGCTGAGAGCTTCAGAAGCTTAGACGTGTGCTTCCCTGGCCTCTGGCTGCAGTCTGCACCATGAGGGCAGGAATGAGGGGCACGGTCCCTTGGCTGAGGTCACGGAGTCAACAGGAAGCTGTCACTGTCCTCGGCCTCTGGGCTGACCTCACTCATCAGCCCCAGATGCTTCCCACTGAGCCCTGAGCCGCATGCTGATCCTTAGCTGATCGGGCAGCTAAGACTTCTCGCTGGTGGTGTGGGCCGGGGCAGTGGTCCCTCTCGCCACCCTGGCCCGGGCCCCTGAAACATCCATCAAGTCTCGTTTTCTGCATGTGCATTGGGGCTGTCCCGGCCCCCCGGAGGCGCACAGCCCGCGTGGACAAAGTTTCGGGCCAGTCTGTGTGCCTTCAGAGGCCTCTTGGATCTAGAAACTGCCTCCTTCTGAGG